CAAATGTGGTTAAGTTACATGGCATGCCGAAATCAATCGTGTCTGACAGGGATCGGATCTTCACTAGTCAACTATGGCAGCAACTATTCAAATTGAGTGGTACGTCCTTGAATATGACCACTGCATACCACCCACAATCCGATGGGCAATCTGAATCCTTAAACAAGTGTTTGGAAATGTATTTGAGATGCTTTACTTATGATTCTCCTAAAGCGTGGTCAAAGCTGTTACCTTGGGCTGAGTATTGGTATAATACTTGCTACCACCACAGTAGTGGCATGACCCCTTTTAAAATTGTTTATGGTAGAGACCCTCCTACATTGACTAAATACAAACTGGATAGCCACGATCCTGTTTTAGTCCAAGAACGACTAGTGCGACGAGATTTGACTCTGAACCGATTAAAAATTAACTTGCATAAGGCTCAACAGTACATGAAAAAATACGCTGACAAGAAGAGGTGATTCTTTGAGTTGAACATTGGTGATATGGTTTTGGTGAAATTGCAACCCTATCGGCAACATTCAGTTGCTCTAAGGAAAAACCAGAAACTGAGTTTACGATATTTTGGTCCTTTTCCAGTAATCGAGAGAATTGGACAGGTGGCTTACAAGCCGTTGTTGCCCCAAGGAAACCGAATTCATCCGGTCTTTCATTGTTCTCGGTTAAAGCTTTGTAAGGGAGATCATTCGCAACCTTATATTCCATTGCCTATTCACAATGAATTATTCCCTGTCATTCAACCTGTCTCCATTCTGCAATCTCGGGTGATAATGAGAGGCCAAGAGCAGATTCCGCAACATCTGGTTCAGTGGGAAGGATTAGATGTATCTGCTGCTACATGGGAAGATCACGATAATTTGCAGCAGGCTTTTCCAGTATTTAACCTTGAGGACAAGGTTCATTTTAATGGGGGAAGACTATAACAAGTGTCAATGAGACTGATAACCAACAACTTCATAACAGAGGGGTAAAAGCGTCAAATACTGATGTTATGCAGCAAGGATACCTGGCAGATCATGGAGGCAGGAAAAGCACAAGAATTAAAATAACTAATTCTAGGTTGAGGGATTTTGATTGGTCAAGAGTTTAGTATAAATTGTTTGTTGTGGGGAGAGAGAAAGAGGGGGTAACGATTGGTTTCTCATTTTTCTCTCTCTGGACCTTTTCTCTCTGAACTTTTTCTCTTTGGCATTTTCATTCATACGTGTTGATCATTCTCTGTAATTCTCTTACCACCATGAGTATTTTCTGAGTTTTAATAATACTGCTGCAGTATTTAACACCAACGTTGAAAGTCCTAACTTTCAAATCGAAAATTTTTATTTATTTCCAACCCCTCTCTATTTATCTAGAAATCCCCCTCTCTTTTATATTATATTTTTATTAGGTCCCCCCTCTTTTATATTATATTTTTATTATTTATCATATTTTTTTGAGGTTTAGAGCATTACCAAATTAATTTTTTGTCACTGACAGGATTCGAACCCAGTACCTTAGTATTGGAGGCTGATACTTCAACCACTAAACTACTCGAATTTTTTGATAGTAACTTACAAATAAATTATATTTATATACAAATATATATATATATATATATATATATACCGTGTAAATATATAAATATATAAATACAAATATATTTATATATTTTGATATATTTATATAATTATATATTTATATGTTGGATGTGAGGGCACGCTCGAAGGTGAAAGTGTGTGTCGAGTGGGTTTTCAAAATTTGATGCCAAATTTGTGAGCGGGTCTCTTTATATAGGTTTGTAATTTAATGACAGAATATAATATTTATAATTTATTTATATAATGATATAAAATAAATTTGGGAAACGCATCATTCGCTCAAACGAAAAATACTAATTTTCGCTCAAGCGAGGCTTGAACGAGTGAATTTCCGTGAGTTTTAACGTATTTTCACTCAAGCGAGAGTCAATCTCACTTTCATCCTCGAACGCGCCCTCACATCCAACATATAAATATATAACTATATAAATATATATATATATATATATATATATATATATCAAAATATATAAATATATTTGTATTTATATATTCTATATTTATATATTTACATGGATATATATTTATTTGTATATAAATATAATTTATTTGTAAGTTATTATCAGAAAATTACAGTAGTTTAGTGGTTGGAGTATCAACTTTCAACTCTAAAATACCTGGGTTCAAATCCTGTCAGTGACAATTCTCTAACTTAAGTAAATTTTTGGCTGAAAAAAATAAAAACACTTTCCAGAAAATATATATAAATAAATATATATTTACATGGATATATATTTATTTGTATATAAATATAATTAATTTGTAAATTATTATCGGAAAATTACAGTAGTTTAGTGGTTGAAATCCTTGTCGGAAATTTTGGATGAAAACACATTCAACGTCGGCTCCTAGATGAACCGACGTTGAATGTGTCAATTAAAAGACTTTCAACGTCGGTTCATCTAGAACCGACGTGGAAAGTGTCAATTAAAAGACTTTCAACGTCGGTTCATCTAGAACCGACGTGGAAAGTGCTTTCTACGTCGGTTGACTAAGAACCGACGTGGAAAGTGCTTTCTACGTCGGTTAACTAAGAACCGACGTGGAAAGTGTCAATTAAAATACTTTCAACGTCGGTTCATCTAGAACCGACGTGGAAAGTGCTTTCTACGTCGGTTGACTAAGAACCAACGTGGAAAGTGCTTTCTATGTCGGTTGACTAAGAACCGACGTGGAAAGTGTCAATTAAAATACTTTCAACGTCGGTTCATCTAGAACCGACGTGGAAAGTGCTTTCTACGTCGGTTGACTAAGAACCGACGTAGAATGTGTCCAACATTCAACTTTCAACGTCGTTTTTTAACCAACTGACGTTGAAAGTATATTTAACGTCGGCTCAGCTTTAACCGACGTTAAATGGCGACGTTGAAAACATATTTTGTAGTAGTGATCGTTCTTACAGGTAGTGACAACCATGACATCTCTCAGTTGAAACAACATCTCTGTCACCATTTTCAGACCAAAGATCTTGGCAAACTTAGATATTTCTTGGGTATTGAGGTGGCACAGTCCAATGATGGTATTATTATATCGCAGAGGAAATATGCCATAGATATTTTGGAGGAAACTGGGTTGATGAGTTCAAAGTCTGTTGATACACCCATGGATCCCCATACTAAACTTCTACCAAATCAGGGGGAGCCTATATCTGATCCTGAGCAGTATAGAAGATTGGTTGGAAAATTGAATTATCTTACAGTTAGTTGTCCTAACATTTCCTTTGCAGTCAGTGTGGTAAGTCAATTTCTTAATTCACCATGTGAAGATCATTGGAATGCACTCATTCGTATATTGAAGTATATTAAAGGATCTCCTGTAAAAGGATTGTTATATGGTTCTAATAATCATACAAGAGTTGTTTGCTACTCAGATGCTGATTGGGCAGGATCTCCTTCGGATAGAAGATCTACATCTGGATATTGTGTCTCCACTGGTGGTAACTTGATCTCATGGAAAAGTAAGAAACAAAGTGTTGTGGCAAGATCCAGTGCAAAAGCAGAATATAGAGCTATGGCCTCAGTTGTCTGTGAACTTGTTTGGCTCAAGCAATTGCTTAGAGAGTTACAATTTGGAGATGTCACTCAAATGACACTTGTGTGTGACAATCAGGTTGTTCTTCATATTAGTTATAATCATGTCTTTCATGAGAGAACCAAACACATTGAGATTGACTGTCATTTCATTCGAGAAAAATTATGTCTGGAGATATCAAGACTGAGTTTGTTAACTCAAGTGATCAATTAGCAGATATTTTCACTAAGTCTTTATGGGGGCCTATAATTGATTATATTTGTAACAAGATTGACACATACGATTTGTATACTCCAGCTTGAGGAGGAGTGTTAGATATTGTTCAAATATTGTTTAGATATAGTTTGATATTGTTAAGATATTGTTAACCACAATATCAAACAATATCTTCTGTTTATTATGTTTACTTTCTGTTACTCTTTTAGTTGTATCTCTCTATTATAAATAGATTACTTTTATGATTTATACACAAGGGAGATTAATTTCAAATCTTATTTCTTCTATATTCAACAAACTTCATTTAAACATTTTATTAGTAAAAAATGATAAATTGATTTCAATATATCACTTATTTTATTTTTAGATAAAAATTTAACAAAGCAAAGTTATGTTGTATAATTTAATCTAACAACTCATATATATTATGCATATATTTTAATACTAAAAGGCATAATTCATGCATAAGACTTGTGCACACGATATTATATACCATGAATTAAATGGGTTAATAATAGTTTGCAAAAAAATACTTAATAAGTTATTTTAGTTAATAAAACCTATTTATTTAAAATATATGATTGTGATTTCACAAATAAAGGACAAACTAAATTAAAATATTTTGATTCTTCATATAAAAATTCAGACTTTAATGATGAAAAATTTTGCTTTATTTTAAATTTTGGTTCTTATAATTTGTAGTTTAGTTTCTTAATTTTTAATTATCAATAATTTTGATTAATTTTTAATTTAATTATTCATGGTTTTTACTATTTTCAGATACGTAGGAGAAAACACATTATACTTGTAAGTTTTTACAATATTAAAGAAAGTAATAACGATAAAGATTTAAAAAATATATATATATAATTTAATAGTGATTTAATATAATTTTAAAGTTAAAAACGAAACAAAATTATCAATAAAAATAAAATTAATACATCAAACACTATATAAAAAAAAAAGTGCGTCACTCGTATTTAAATTCGGCCTTTTAATAATAATAATAAAAAAAAAAAAAAAAAAACTTACAGTTATATTTACCATAGATTAAGTTGATGGTGTTTTTTTATGCATAGAGAATGGGGGTAGGGTTAAGGACGAGGTAAGTTAATTTAGGAAGGAGTCTGAAATCGGAAGGGGGGAGATTGAGGAAGTAAGAAGTGGGAGACGATGGCTTGGGATGGGAAGAAAGGCGACGATATGGATTCGCTGTTTGAAGGGATGGTACTGTTTAACCCTTCTGCCCAAATTGAAATTGAAGTTGAAGCAGAGGTCCGACAAGACAATTACAATGGTAGTGATGCGCTCACATCATCGCAGCCCCTTGACGAGAATCTCTTCTCTGACCTCACGCTGGTGGTGGATCCCCTCCAAAACTCAGAAGTAGCAGAAGCCGAGCATGATCTCCAATCTCACCAGCAGCTCATATCTGCTATCGCCCCAACTTCTTCTTCTTCTTCTTCGCCTTCTTCTGGACAGGGTCAGGGTCAGGGTCAGGGTCCGGGTCAGGCCCCTCGAAGGAGAAAACGATCTGGCTTGAGGATAGGATACGGTAGAGACGCCCTTCATTCCGATATGCCTCACACTCTTTCTCCGCTCCCCCAACCTATTTCTGATAGTGACAGCCTAGGCGGTGATGATACTGTTTGGGTCCCAGACACCCTTCCCTCCATCACTACTGCCACTGCCACTACCACTGCCACAGCCGCTGATGCTACTAATGTTGTTACTCTTTCCCAGCCATCTACTGAATCTTCCACCAAATCAGAGAATGAGAATCGGGAACATCAACATGCTTCAACTTTTTCTGAGGAAAAACCATCTACTGAATCTTCCTCCAAATTAAAGAATGAGAATCGGAAACACCACCACGTTTCGTCTTTTTCTACGGCAGGAACATCACCTACTGAATCATCCTCCAAATCAGAGAATGAGAAGTTGAATCAACAACATGCTTCTGCTTTTACTGAGGCAGAGTTTCGGCAAATTAAGGCGAACATACATGAGAAGCTTAACCATGCAAGTCAACTGGTCAAATCTGCTTCTTCTGCTCGAAAGGATTCCATCAGGAATAGAAGAAAAACCGTTGAGAATGCCAATCTTGCTTCCCTCAAATACATGGAACTCGAAAAGCAATTGGAAGAAGCCTGCGAAGCTGAAGATTTCGAAATGGCCGAAAAGGTTAGCGAAAACCTTTCCGTTGCCGAGAAGGAGAAACAAGCTTACATCAATTCATTGAGAGAAGCCGATGCTGTTGTCGACGCTTTAGATTTAAAATTGCAGCATGCCCTCGAATCTCAGTTAGTTGCCGAGGAACAATGCGCAATCTTGCTTGACCATTATGCAACGGTTAGTTAAACATCCGCGGGGAAACTAAATTGCACTTTTTTACTAGATTACGCTTATCTAAAACATACTGCAGTTGCATAAATATCATTTCTTTTATCACTTTATATTTTCTTCCGTTGCATCGTTTATATAAGTTCAGGTGGAATGTTGACTAAGCGAAAGTGAAATGAAATGGTCTAGTTTATAGCTTTTGCATTTCCTATAACTTCACACAAATTCATCAATGAAATTAAATATTACAGATTCTAAAGTTTCATCTTCAGGTAACACGAGAAATTCATTACTCATTGGCATGCCCTTACAAAACAAGTTATGGTAATATTTCTGATGTGTCTATATATTCCTTTTTCTAGAATGCTCTGAATAATGCAGATTCCGCCCTAAAGAAAGCAACATCAGTTTATTCAAAAGAAATGGACCAATGGCTTTCATCATCTGAAGCCTTGGAGGTTAAAAAGATGGAATTGGAGATTGAATCACAATTTATGAATGAAGCTCGTTTAGAATTGAATAATACCATTGAGAGTTCAATCCAGGATGACAAAAGAGAAAAAGAGATCCTTTGTAAAAGAAAGGATGTGTTAATGGCTGAATTGAATCAACTTCTTGCTTTAGTTAAACAGAAAGAGAAGGAGATAGCAGACAATGACTCTAACTTAGAAGATGTAGAAAATAAGATAAATAAGGTTGTCTCTGAATTTAAAGAGATGCAGTCAGGCATTGATGTCAAGTATAACAAATTGCAGTCTGTCCTTGCACAAGTAAAATTAGAAACTGAAACTTTGGCTCTAAAAAAGGGGGATATTGATAACTTTCTCACTCAGGAAGAAGAAATGGGAGCAAGACTTAGAGAATTTGCTAGGATTTCTACCGAGGAAGCTGAAGGATACCGTGAAATAGTTAAACTAAGAAGAAGTTTTATGTCATCTATATTGAAGTCCAGGGAGGACAAACTGACACTTGCAGAGAACGAGGAAAAGCTTTCTGCAGATGTGAAATCGTTTCAGAAGGAGGTTTCTGCCGCAAGAGCTTCCTTGCAGGTTAATAATGATTTTTGTGTTTTAAAATGTGTATATATATAGCTGTAATGTGATGAATTATCAGACTCCCAGTGTATGCCTGGCCCCAGTGCACTACCTAACCTTAAATTTGAAGTTATGCACTAGATAAGTTGCTTCAATATACACTAGGTTGAGAGAATACTATACATAGTTCCAGTCCACATGTAATCAAATCCAAAACCTAAACAAGCAAGTCACTTATTTTCCCGCAAAAGAAAATTCTTTTGGTAGTTATTTGTTCACAAATGCCATTACACTGTTTTTAGGAACTATCCTCGAGAAAGTCAAGCCTCCAGCAAGAGATAGCATCCTTCAAGCAGAGGATTATTTTCATAGATAAAAGAGTCCCAGAACTAGAAGCAGAAAAGAAAGTTGCTACTTCTGCAAGAAATTTCAAAGAGGCAGCACGAATAGCAACTGAGGCAAAGTCACTATGGGTTGAAAAAGAGAGCATCTGGATAGACATGGATACGGCTACATTAAATCTTGATAAGCTTGAAAATGAAATCAAAGATACCCTTAATAAATTACAGAAGACTGAGGGAGTGATTTTATTAAAGGAGAAAGAGTTGGCAATGGTCAGATACCAGAAGCTACTTTTGGCATCTGCTACTGCTAGAGCTGAAGAAGCTGCCGCACTAGAGATGGGTGACACTGAAGAAGCGAATCTCCTGTCTGCTGAAGCTGAGGCAGCAGACCGTGAAGCTGAGAAACTTCAATCAACATACAAATTTGAGGTGGAAGACTTGGCCGATTTAGGAAGATATTTAATTTCAATGGATCTTGTGTCGTATCTTGATCAGAAGCAACTGGGAGAACTAGCCGTGTCACTTCATTTATTTACTGGCTGATTGTTGAAACAGGATTTGGTGATTGATAATCAAAGATACGGAACCTTAGTTACTGGAAGTGCGTACTGAAGGGCAACATGAATGCCCCCAACCCTTCGGATACGACGTCTTTACATTCACGCGTCTCAACATTATACCGATTACTGAGTAAGTGAATTGTACAATTTTCCATTTTTTTTTTCATTTTCAAGTTTTGAGGGGTTCTAAGATTTGCGCAATTTTCATTTTCTTTTTTTCTGTTTGTGGGGGCACGACAAAAGTGGTATAAGTAACTATGCTTGTAAGGATATTGATCTGCTGGGAGGATTGTGTTTATTTTTCACTAGTAGGTTTGAATTATGCAAACAATAGCTCGTGGACATTTATATTTAGTAAACAAAAAAAACTTATTAAGGATAGCGTATCAATGATGACAATAGTGTTATAAATTTAATATATAAAATATAATATAGATTATGACCTATGTCATGTTATTAAAAATAAGAAACAAATATAGATTATGAAATATAGAATTATTTAAAAGGATCGGTGAATCAATTATTAAAGAGTATTGTTTATATCTAGAGTATGATTTCGATAAACATACATAAAAATAAATTAAAGAGAAAATTAGAGGAGGAATTAAGACAAAACTGAGTACAAAATAATGAATTAATATTTTTTTATAAAATCTGAAAAAAAAAGATAGTATAATCTATATTTTTTTTCAGGTTCTGACAGTTTGGGATGGTTACGAGAAAATCGGAGTTTTCAGCAATAGATTTTGAAATTTCAACTAGATTTTCAACTCTCTACTACTACTCTTTGCTCTGTTTGTTATGTATATGTTTTCTATTAATTGATACAAATGTATAAATGTGTACTCAGTGCATGTGAACATGAAATAGATCAACAAAATGACCGAATTTTTCTTTTTTCTCAGCAATGCCAATTACACGTTCACCATCCAGTGGTAATTCCAAAAAATAGCAAAATTTTCTGAAGTAATGCTCCACTCTCGAACAAACAAGTGAAATGTCTGAATCTTTGTCAATGTTCCACCAATGTGATAGCAAGTTGGTATTAAATTAGAAAAATTAAATCTCCAAAAATGTTAATTGCCAGACATTCTCATATCATTTCTAAAACACTTACTCGGTACTATCGATTTCACTGTTCCACATGTTATGGCACATGTGCATGTTTCAAACATAACAATGAATATTGCCTGGAGCCAAATCGCCCAATTTTTTTCATTCTCCATGAAGAAATGCTTTCCATATAAAAATTTCTCAAAAGATATTATCAATGGAACTTCTATAATTTTAATTAATATAACTAAGTGAAAATACATTAATTATACATTGCGTAGTAATAATGATATTAAAATTAAGGTTATTAAAATTTATATCAAAAAAATTAATTATCATATAAGACTTGTTTCCACCTTAAATTTGATTTGACTTACCACATAAATAGTTATTAATCTTATACATTAACAACAAAATAGATATTTCGCATTTAAAGTACAATTATCTTATAAAACATTTAAATAACACGCTAATATATAACCAAAAATAATATTTTTGGTAACAATTAAAATTAAGTTCAACAAATACCTACAAAATAAATAAATAAATAAATACTAACATGTCATAATGCAAAAAAAATAAAAAAATACTTGTCTAATAAAAAAATCTTTCTTTAAAAAACCTGATACAGAATTAAAATTCGCAAAGAACCCCTCTAATTAGCACTTCGGAAACAAATTCGAAAGATCTCCCAATAGATTTTGAAACAGTATGACGTAGTGCCCCGCTGCACCACTCCGGGATAGCGGCTGCAATGCCTGCACCACTGACCAGAGACGCGGTGGTCTCCTCGTACTATCCGCGCCTATTGACAAATGACAACCTATATTTATGGTGAAAGAATGTGTTTGTTTCATCCTTTTTGCAAGAATCACAAGAATGTTTACACTTCATCTCAAGGATCCAACAATGAGCTGCACCTCATACGAGATATTTTGACAAAAGCTCCTACCATTGTAAAACATAGAGAAAAAAAAAAAAACTATTACCATAGTGGCAACACAACTTTATCTTGCAGTAATATTAAACATCAAAAGCCAAGGCAAATTTCCAGTTAAAGCAAAAATTTGAATCACTACAGACTTCACATGAATAGCCAGACTGCTGTTAAGAGGAAACTATAATTTACTTTAGAGGTCTACATACACTAGTCCGGGAGAAGGTTGAACAATGCTTATTAGTGTTTCATCTTGACCTGTGATCAGAAAGCTCTTTTAAATTATCCTGCTCCTCTTTGATGCATGGTTCATCCACTGCCATCGAGTCCACCCCCGATACCTGAAAAGAAGCAATTTTAACACCAACGCAGTGACTTAAATGAGAAATTTTAGTTTATGAAGGCCAAAACATTCAACCTTGGAGCATGCAATCTCCTTGAAAGGTGTGTGAAAATCTCTTCCACAGTCTAGATGTTTATGGTAACTTTCCTGAAATTTAAAATATGGTCAAAATTTTCACCTAAAATTAATTAATTCATCTTAAAACTACGAAACTAGACAAATCACTGTACAAGCACATCATTTAGCACTATGAATGAGACAAGTAACAGATCCCGAACCCAATGACTAGGAAATAAATAAATAAATAAATGAAAGGAATCCAATTGAGATTTTTATAAAATATATTACAATTTGTTTGAAATGTCACAAAAAATAAAATTATACTCCGAAAGTTGTATCTTTAATCAGAATCCAGTTGGGTGTTGAACAAATCCTTATCATGGCTGTAATTCTCGTTAAATTTACTATAATGTACTTGTTACTTGTTCTGATGCTTAATTTATTTAATTTCAATAATATTTAAAAGATTATTTGAAACATTTTTCCTGTTACAAGGACAAAGAAAACAGGTCGGGACATACTGCATCTTTATGCTCAGCTTCAACACATTCACTTTTCACCCTTCTGCGAGGTTTGCTGTAAGAAACAGATCTGTTAGAGCCTCAAAAGACAATGTCAAGATGGGCTGCAAAAGCACAAAATACCTGTCATCATCAACCTCCCTGTCAGAATCAGGATCCCATCTTTCATCCCTACCATCTTGATCTTCATCTCTCTAAATATAAATAGTAAGTAATCATCAATATTTACTCAAGCACTGAGCAAATACAATAATGGTTGAATGAGAAAAACAAATCTATGAAAGTAAAAATACTGCGGATTATTTGAGAATGTTCGGACATGTTAATGAACACATGGATTTTTTTAACTTTAAGATGCTCTAGACAAATTTCAGATTTCAACATGAGACGTGATAATTGCTTTTTTAAAACATGTTTACCGCATGGCCAATAAGCTGCCTCAAAATTGAAAATCATCGGTAGATTTTTCCATTTCAAATGAAACCTTTGCAGTTTGGATATTAAATTAAATGTAGTAACTCTATTAGGACGCAATAAATCTAAACAATGAGATAAATATCTATTTCCTCAATATGGTAGCAGAATTTGCACCAAATTATGCTACTACTCAAATCATATTTACGTGCTAAAGGATATTTAACACCTTTCAACAAATATCTATGAGGGAAGTAGGCAACTACTTCAATAAATGATTAAGAGATGATATAACAAAAAGAGTTGAAAAAAAAAGTGTATTGTATTTGTCAGTAGAAGCAAAACCAACCTCATGTAGCTCTGCATCAGGTGGTCGCTCCTGGAATGGGACACTTGGTGCATGTTGAAGCCTAGATAAATTATCAAGAAGTTTTGCTCTTATTTCATCCAATAAATGTCGAGAGTTCTTGTTTTCCATGTTACTTGGAGCAACATGAAGAGTATAATCAGGACCAAAATATTCATAATACTCATGTTGAGGCATCTTATCATCTAGTTCAATACCAAGAGCAACGCTAGTCTGATCAACAACCAATAGAAATATGTTAATCAGAGAACACTTTCTGCTTAAAAAATATAATATTTTCATTTGACACAAATATCAGGTATACAGATCAAATCAACACTCAATAGTGCAGGTACTGACTCCCATATATTACGTTTCAATAGGACTGCTAAAAGCCAAAAGAACATACGGAGACATACCTCCACTTTTAATCTTTTAGATGTTTTCAGTAACCTTTTTCTGATAATGCAATACAACTAAATGTTTACTTGTGCTTTAAGTTGTGTGCACCATAGTGCATTTTTCATACTATAGAAAGAGTGTATGCGTTGAACTATTCTGATATGTTCATTCATATACTTGTGCCTGTATTTATGTCCATTGCAGAGGAGATCCATAATAAGATTATTACTGAGCACTTAATTATCGGGAATTGAGTCAATCCTTTTAAGAAAGACAGACAATAATAAAATAATCCAACCAAGGCAAGTACAAGAAAAATCACACAGCACAATACCTCATAACACCAACAGCGTGCCACATTTCTTATTGTATAGCCACCTCCCCCCAGCAATAGAAGGGGAACATTAAAAGATCTCATGTATCTGACACACTCTGCATGACCTTTTATGGAAAGATTGAAACAACCTAATCTGTCCCCCGATAAAGAGTCAGCGCCACATTGTAATACAACAGCACCAGGCCTAAAAATCTCCATAACTTTTCCCATTATTGGCTTAAACAAGGACTGATAGCTCTCATCATCAATTCCATCATCCAAGGGAACATTAAGTGAATAATATTTCCCTTTACCATATCCAATATCTCGAATATCACCTGTTCCAGGAAAGTAATCCCCAAACTTATGAAACGAAACAGTCATGACCCTATCTGTGGTGTAAAAAGCCTCCTCTACACCATCACCATGGTGGATATCGATGTCCACATATAGAACACGCTGCACATGATAAAGAGAATGCAGATTACTATGATAGACCACTTCAGACAAAATATTTGATACAAAAAAATTAACATTAACAGAATTGTAGAAGGCAATGTCTCTCGTAACCCACATCTTGAACAGGTCCTAATGTCGGTGCATGAGTTAACGTAAAAGATATAACTAAGAACTTAAAGTGGCATTGGTGAGTCCTAAAAGTTCATAGACCAAGCTTGGAAAAGAAAGCTGTCCCTTGTAATTCATGCAATAACTCTTCATCTAATTGGGTGTTTGTCAGGGACTTGTGATTGTGGGTTTATTGAGGACTCTATAATCAACAAAATCCTGCAACTACTTTCCTTTTTCTTGACCAAAATAACTGGACTATAAAAAGCACTACAACTAGGTTGAATGATCCCAGATTAACCAGATCAGCACCAGGTTTGAGCGGAATACAATGATCCACTGTTCTATTGGGTGGCAACCCCTTTGGAGCAAAAACACGGTAAAAAAATTATCTAATAACCTTTTTATAACTGTTATTGAACAATCATATCTAACTCCCACCACTCATGATTCTGTTTATTAGGTATCTCCACATGAGTTGGTAGAAAAAATTAAAGCAATTAAGTATATTTTACCTCTATTAATTTGTGAAAAGCCACTACACAAGAGGATCGGCTGACTTCAGGACTCTTGGACTACTACACCATTATGCATGAATGACATGTTGAAATTACTCCAATTAGCCAAAACTTTCCCAAGGTAGCCAACCAAGCCACTCCCGGAATCAAATCCACTTGTCCTAATTCATAGACCCAAAAAAAACTTAATTATCACACTCCTAGACTACAGTGCAGATCATGGCAGCATCCTTGTATTTGCTTTTGAAATCCATCTCCCAATATAACCAAATGCATGCTTGTTGTATACATCATCTCCCCAACAATGAACATAAACATTAATATTCAGTGTTAGGGAGCATGCAATTTCAACAAAGCGTCTATTTTTCCAATCCGCTATATTATTTTGTGTGTATTGACATAAAATTCTCTAGGAAGACAAAAATGAGGAAAATGCAGTAAAAAAATATTCTTTCCTATTATCACTTCGGAAAATTTTAATTATCTTTCAAATTGGTTCTTAATCTCATTGAAAAAAGACACAAATATGGAAAAGAAAGTCATATTTGTTTTTCATTAAGTAAACCCAAATATATTTTGAAAATTCATCCACGAAAGTTACAAAATGAAAGTTACAACTTGAAAACAAGAAAAGATGAAGATCTGACAATTTGGGAAATGAAGATCTGACAAAGGAATTGGAATTAAAAGCTACTAAACAATTCAATGAGCAAATTGATTAAGTTACAAAGATCAAATTGTAATGACAATGAGGAATGAACAACACAAAAGTTAAATTTAGTGAAAGAGATAAAGAAATTGTTAAGGTTCCAACATAAAACCAATTGACAATATGTGGAATAGTCTAACATGTATTTAAACCATACTAAATGACATGAGGTAGACGATGTGGAATTTTCAACATGCCCCCTCCAACGAAACCTGCCAGACCAGACAAAGGGTACTTTTGACCCACAACGAAAAGGCAACTCTTGGCCCAAGACAATAACCGGAAAGATGTTAGGTTTTGGCTCTGATACCATGTTAAGGTTCCAACATAAAACCAATTGGTAATATGTGAAGTAGCCTAACATGTATTTAAACCATACCAAATGTCATGAGGTAGGTGATGTGAGACGTTCAACACGACTTAAGATTAATAGAGAAAAAATATATCTTCAGGGCTTATGGGACCCTTCTCCCTTTCTTCTATTTATAATGGAAATCTAATACAATAAGACATAGAAGACTAAGTAAGAGACTACAACTAGGACCCTAGGTGCAGATCTAGATATAGCTGTAGTAGGTTTCCCACACTCAACACCCTAGGTGCAGATCTAGATACAAGTAGGAGGTTTCCCGCACTCAACACCCTGTACTTAGGTCTAATGATAATACTAGGAAGTAATGATTCTAACACTCCCCCCCCAAGCTGGAGCATACAAATTGTATGAACCAAACTTGGAACAAATGAACTCAATCTGAGGTCCCCTTAATGACTTAGTCATCACATATGCAAGTTGGTCATTTGACCCAACGAACTCAGTACAAATTTCCTTGGACATTAATTTTTCCTGAACAAAATGGCAGTCGATTTCTATATGTTTAGTCCTCTCATGAAACACCGGATTTGATACAATGTGGAGAGCAGCTTAGTTGTCACAGTACATCTTTATGGTCTGGATTTCACAAAAATTAAGCTCCCGAAGAAATTGCTTTATCCATATGAGTTCACAAGTGAAAGACACCATTGCCTGATATTCAGTTTCAGCGGATGATCGGGCCACTACATTTTGCTTCTTACTTTTCCATGAGATAACATTTCCTCCAAGGAATACATAATATCCTGTAGTAGAGTGTCTGTCAATAGGAGAGTCTGCCCCATCAGCATCACAATACCCGGAGACTTAAACATTTCCTTTATCTTCATATAGTAAACCCTGTCCAGGAGCTATCTTGAGGTACCTTAAAATACAGATGATGGCATTCCAATGTCCAAGATATGGAGTCTGCATAAACTGACTAACCACTCCAACTGCAAAAGATAGATCAGGCCTTGTAATAGTAAGATAAATTAGTTTTCCAAAAAGCCTCCTATATCTCTCTGGATAAGAGAATAATTCACCTTCTGTCGTTAGCTTCTGATTTGGGTCCATAGGATTGTCTACTGGTCTACAGTCAATCATGCCTGTTTTGTGTAATATATCAAGAGCATACATTCTTTGAGAGATTATAATTCTATCTTTTGACTGAGCTACTTCAATGCCCAATAAGTATTTGAGGCTTCCAAGATCCTTGGTTTGAAAATGTCTACACAAGTACTCCTTTAGTTGAGATATTCCAGCAGTGTCATTTCTTGTAATGACTATATGATAGTATTAGGTAAACACATATCCTTAGAGATGTATGACAATAAAAGACAGAATGGTCTCCTTCACTACGTTTTAGCCCAAATTTTTGAACAATGGAGCTAAATTTTCCAAACCAAGCACGTGGTGATTGTTTGAGACCATATAGAGAACGATGCAATTTGCATACCGTACCAGACTCCTCCTGAGCAACGAGCACAAGAGGTTGCTCCATGTAAACCTCTTCCTCAAGATCACCATGGAGGAAGACATTTTTGATATCCAATTGATGAAATGGCCAGTGACGAATGACTGTCATTGCAAAGAAGAGACGAATAGTAGTCATCTTGGTCACGGGAGAGAAAGTATCACAATAATCAAGACCATAAACCTGTGTATCTTTTTGCAACCAATCGAGCTTTGAGTCGATCAACTTGACCATCAGAGCCAACTTTAACTACATACACCCATCGACAACCAACAGCCTTCTTACCTGGTGGGAAAGGGACACGAGCTTCCAAATATGACTGTGTTCAAGAGTCTACATCTTTGCAATCTTGTACTTCATTCACATTTTTGGGAATAACAACAGAAGATACTGAAGATAGAAGAGAACAATAGGAAGGCGATAATCTGTAATAGCTAAGAAAATTATAAATGGGATGTAGATTTCGAATGGAACGAGTACATTTTCTGAGAGCAATGGGCCAGCTTGAATCACCTTCACCAGGAGTCGTGGTATCAAGCGACGAGGGAGAAGCATCTAAAGTAGGGGATTCACCATGTTCTTGGAAAATAGGACTATTCCTATGGGGGTATGAATAGGTGGAGATGATGGCTCAGGAAGACTTTGATCAAGACTTGAACCAGGATTGACAGAGACATTGGAAAGATTGTACTTAACCACTGGAATAGGGAGGCCCTGCTGTATGACATGAACATCTTGAACAGATGGAGAGAAGTAAGGGGTTTCCAGAGTTCCATGTGTTGGAACACGAACCATGCGGTGGATTAAGGTGTCCATGGAAGGAACTTCATGAGAGTTCAGAAGCTGATCTCTGATATGGTTGAAGTCTGGATGTATAACGCGAAGAATCATCACCATATAGTATTTGTCAAGCTTCTTCATTTCATCTGAAGCGTCGACCTCCAAGAACATTTGAAGGTCTTCCACGGCTGATTGTGCTTCATTCATGAAGGAGATCATATCATGGTTGGTCATTTTCAGAGATGCCAGCTTGTTTGCCGAATCATAAAAGTGTTGGATATCGTTGGCATATATGTTTTGAGTTCTCTTCCAAAAAGAGTGACATGTCTTGAAAGCCCTAAGAGACATTAAAAGTCTTGGCTCCACAGATTGCCACAACAGGGCACACAACTGAAAATCTGCTTGCTTCCACTGTTCGGCTTTTTCTTCAGGCACATGACTTCCGTCTTTCTCAGGATGGTCATGATGTCCTTAGCCAAGAAACCACATCTGACGACAGTGGACGAAGAGAGATAATTTTGTCCGTTTAGCTTCTCGGAAGTAATGGAAGGACTTCCAGAGAATGAAATAGCACTTCCAGTTGCCATTTTTTATTAAGAGGATAAAAAAACAGAGAGCAGATACGCAAAAACAACGAAGATTTTTGAAAGCCCTAGGGAGATTTCCGAAAGGGGAATGTCTGGACTTCACCAAAACTTAGTTTTGAAGGTCAAAACGAACAGAGGAGGTTCTGGCGAAGGCTACTAAGGCAGCGCATGGACTACACACTGCCTGCTGCAGCGGACGTAGATGGAGCATGTGGCGGTGCGTCGCGAGGAGTCTCCTTTCGGGCACTAACAGGGTTAACTGTCACTCAAAGAGGTAGTCTAGATCCAATGGTTTCCAAACGAAACTGCAGCGGCTAACGGCGGCAGACAATGACAGATAGTTGCTTGACAGTATTGGACAGTCCAACAGAGCAGAGGATAGCTTCAATTAGTGATAAAACTGAGCTTGGACGGCCGCGGACAGCAGTGACTAATGGTGGACAGCCGCGGACAACAGTGACTGATGGTGGTGGACAAGACCAAACAGAGACCAGAGCGGGATCGACCCACTTTGATAGCAACTTAAGATTAATAGAGAAAAAATATATTTTCAGGACTTATGGGACCCTTCTCCCTTTCTTCTATTTATAATGGAAATCTGATACAATATGATATAGAAGACTAAGAAAGAGACTGCAACTAGGACCCTAGGTGCAGATCTAGATACAACTGTAGGAGGTTTCCCACACTCAACACCCTATACTTAGGTCTAATGATAATACTAGGAAGTAATGATTCTAACATAAACTTAGCTAACTCCTACTTTAGATCCATTAGCAACAATAACCAAGTGAGGAATTTTAGGATAAGACAAAGGAAAATGAAGAACTATTATCAGAGATGTAATTTGAGGCACCAAACTTAAGAATCCATGAATTTATGACTTTCCATAGATTGAGAAAAGCATGTTGTTAACACACTTGGTATTGAAAAATATTGATCTTAATTGATAGGTTTCTCAAATTTGAACTTAAAAAAAATTCTTGGTTCTTCACAAAAAATTTTGATGTTTGATTTTCAAATTTAGACACATGAAAAACCTTATCTAGAAAGTCATGCAAGGAATAACAATTTTCTTGCATATGGCCAATTTTCTTGCAATATGAGCATTGAAGACATACACTTCTACCCCCACGTCCTCCTTGGATGTTGTGACTTCCTCCTCTTTCATGAGACACTACCATTGTTGAAGTTTCAATAATTTCAACTTGATTTCCATCCTTAATCAAATTAGGCACACGAATGAGTCTAGTGACTAAACTATCCCCTCAAAAGAATTTGATCACTAGCTAAAATTTGATCACATACATGATCAAAATCTAAATGTAGACTTCTCAAAATCAAAACCATGTATAATTTATCAAGTTTCTTGATGAGGTCCTCCAACGTGTTAGCCACCAATGAGAGACCATACCATGGTTAGCATGTCTGAGGGAAGCAACTCTTTGAATTGCTTAAAATTGACGCTAAATATCATTAACAAAAATATCTTGTGTGTTCTTCCAAAACAAACATGCCTAGAAGGATCTAAATATTTCTGGAACTTAGGCTCAATTAAATGCCATAAAACAACACATAGTTGGAATTCAGTCTTTGGCCACTACAATCTATTTGTATCAAAAATAGAGTTGGCTTTAGTTTCCATATGGTCATGATATCCTTGAACTAGGAGTAGCAAAATATGAAGAGATAAAACTTGTTGAAATCATATCAAAGGCAAAAAGGGACACTCAGATATGAGAACAAAGGGCAAGAAACACGGACAACAGCATAATTAGATGATGTCGACGAAACAAACAATAGGGACACAAAGTGATTCCAACCACAAGAAGACAGTGTGTGGAGCACACAATCCTAGAATCTAGTCACACGAAGATCAACGTGTGATAGTGCTTTTGATGGCAATTGGCCATTTGACCACTGAGGTTGGCTTGGGCTCCTCGAGACATACCTAACCCTTACTTCAAACAAAATGATGCTAGTTGATGGCAACAATGATGATGATGCTGACAGTGAAAAGGGCGGATGATGGTTGCCGAAGATAGGGACAATGATGATATGGTGATGAAAGAGGCTAGAGTGGGATCATACTCACTTTGATACCATAAAAAGAATTGAGAAAAGTCACATTTATAGGCTCTTGCCTAAACCCTAACCCTAAAGTTGGTACATAAATAAAAAAATATTAGAATAACATGCTTATATTTAATAGACATATACAATTGCAAGGAGGTCCCTCTCATAAATTAACATGGCTTGTTTTCTGGGACGAAGAAATTAACTAGTATAGGTGATAGGGTGATATCTTGCATCAAGACAACACCACCAAATTTGCTTGAAGCATCAGTTTCAACCACAGTTTGGAAAATTTTGGAAACACTAAAAGTGGTGTTGTAATTAGGGCCTGCCTGAGATTTTGGAAAGCCTCAAGAGGCTCCTTAGACCTAGTAAATCCGTCCATCTTAAGAATGTCAATTAGGCTTAGAAATTTTGCCAAAATTAGAGACAAATCTTTGATAATAGCCACTAAAACCAAAAATAGATCTCAGTTGTTTGATGTTTTGTGGTGGTCGCAATCTGCCAATTGCTGAAATCTTGGAGGGTTCGGTAGGCACTCCATCTTTAGTGATTAGGTGGTCAAGGTATTCCACTCTTGCAGCAGCAAAGCTGCACTTGTCCCTATTCACACAGAGCTTATGGTCTGGAATAGTTTTAAATACCAAATGGAGATGAGACACACGGTCCTTGACAGTGGGGTTGTAAATTAAAATGTCATCAAAGAAGATTATGACAAACCTTCACAAATAAGGGTGGAATATGTGCTTCATAAGAGCCTGAAAAAGTGGCAGGTGCATTGTGTGCTGAAATTGGCATCACAAGGTACTCAAAGTGGCCAGCACAAGCTTTAAAAGATGTTTTATATTCTTCCCATGATTGCATTCTGATTTGATGATAACTAGACTTCAAGTCAAGCTTAAAAAAGATAGCAGCACCGTGTAACTAGTCCTTTAATTCTTCTATGAGTGGAATTGGGAACCTATCTTACTAACAATGTATTTTTGAATAATGGAGTATCTATTATCTCACATTTGAGCACCCTGTTCTGTAGCTTAAGATAATGATTTTTGTTATTAATGAGTTTGATACCCAAAGTCTTAGCACCTCTAAAAGCACAAACTTCTTAGCATTGGAGGTAAACTCCATTTGTACTTTAGAGAAATCCCACAAAATTAGACCCAATGAGGTGAGCCATTGGATGCCTAAAGTCAAATCATAGCACCCAAAGAAGGACAATGACAAGTGTAAGAACTATTTGCTACAACTGCCAAGTAAAGCCTTTACACATGAAAGGAGACTCTGATTTATGTCCAATCATGATTGGGACTACCAATGAGTAAATATTGTCCAATTTACAACCCAATTTCTCAGCCATATCTAAATCCAAAAAATTGTGGGTTCTACCTCTATCAAGTTAAATATGCAAAAATGTTTTTTTGTGCAGGCCAATTACTTTCATAGTGTGAAAACCTATAGTTTCCTGTCATAGCATTGATAGAAAGTTGAGGAGTCTCAACTGTAATACTGTCCACAGGTGACTCAGGTTCAGCTTTTCCAGCTTCTGCAGTAGGGTCTTCCTCATTCAACTCCATCGCTAATACTTGAGATATCTTATGTTTCAACTGATGGATTTGTGGACAAAAGGAGGTTTAGGAGGGGGATAAGTGAATTTTGTGGAGGGACAAGGTTGCAGCCACCATGCTGATTGATAGAAGCTATGACAGATTTATGCAATTTCGCAAGGTGAACTGCATGAGCAATAGAATTGGAGTTGAACATCTTGACTGTCATCTATGGTTCACGTTTCAATCCAGCCAAGAACATGCTCAAAGTGTGTTCAGGAAGAAGGGCAACCAAAGTTAAGGCAAGCTTGAAATCATCCACATGTTCTTGTATTTTGCCGGTGTGTTTCACTTGAATTAGAGCAGCAAGCAGGTCATTTATAAACTTTGCCAAATCGTTGAGCTACATGAGCAATGTATTGAGACTAGGAGAGGTAGATATCAAATTTGTTATGTATATGGTTGATATGCCACAATAGAGCAACCCCAATCGAGGTGAATAGAGGCTAAACGAAACCTTACAAGCTTTCATTGTGCCATCCAGAGAAAAGAACTAGGTGCACTAATACAACCATTCTTTCACATTCTTAACACCATCAATCCATGGGAGTTCTCCTTAGAAATGAGAGCAAAGTAGGAGTTGATGGAGAAATCGTTGGGGGTCTCAATTTGATTTTCACAATGGGAACTGTTGATGGAGAAATCGTCATTGTTAATCTGGGAGGATTGAGCCTGTAGTAAGCTCCTGATTTATTCCATTCCTCTATCTATATGATCCAAACCGGTCATACTCACTTATTTTCTCCAATTGAGCATTAAATTCTTCTTATTTCTTCTAGAGCTCAACCATCATAGTCTGACTTTGAGCTGCACCAGCCATTGTCAATGAATCCACCAGTTTCTGTGATACCAATTGGGACAATTTGGATATTGAGAGAGTAACCCGAGAATAATCCTAGCTCAGAACAGGGATTCCGATGTAATAATGGATTTCGTAAGGGATCGAGTAATAGAGGGCAAAGAATAGTCAGAGAAGATAGAATTTTACTGAAATGACAATATCCTGATTTCATTGGCCAACTAGCTGTAATAATGCACAAGTTGGATACAAAAGCCTAATAGCAAAAAGCAAATTCTAGCAAACTTCAGGACACCTCAACTTGGGCATGCCTGCTACACTTGCTCACAATTCGCTAGTCATCATCTCTTTACGTAAAATTAGGAACAAAATAAAAAACACACACTAAGTATTAATAAGGTCACAAGTATGTTGTGACAATGGGAAGTGTTGACCCTCAAAACATTTTTCCACTCCTGCAATCCTCCCAATCAGTCTATCAGGTCAACCAATTCAAAAAGACAACCTTTTTGACTCAATTTATACCTTGTTTTTCCATTCAATGTGCGGGCAACTTCTTGATCTCCTCCATATGTGCAAATGGAGTAGTATGTTGCAACACCAACTCTTTGAGGAAATCCATCAAATAGTCCATCCTAGCCTCCACAGTAACTACTCACACGGACCCAGACTCAAAACAAGGCAAGTCAGATCAATTGAAAGGTCCTCAAATATTGAAATGAAATATTGAGAGATAAAGGAAAGAGAAAGAAATCATAGAAATAATCAATGGTATTTCTCTGCCAAGGGAAGAGTTCCCTTCCCAACTATAGAATAGTTATTATAAAATATCCACAAAGAATTCCTACTCATGAGTGTAACAGTATTTATATACTTCTTTTACTAACTAAAACAAACCACTAGCTATTGTAACACATCCACATAACCCTTGTTCACTGGAACGTACTAACTTCTTTGTACTAAAATACACTTTCACTTTAGGAACCTCTTGGTCCCAAACTCATGCAACGGAACTTTGCAGTTGTTGGTAATAAACGGAATATACTCAATCTGAATTAAAATGAGAACAGTCATACATCAATGATATAATGTGGGAAATTAAATTTGGGAAACCTCATGTATTTTGAGAAGTTCCAAAATAGCCAGCACAATGTCATTAACATAGCAAAACCCAGAAGCCTCACACTTCTTTGCATGATGTAGACCACCAGCCCAATTTATTGCAATATCGCATACTCCATGGTTCAATTTTAGAGCACCACCAACAGAACCTCCTGCATATGTCTGGCAGAAAGAGTAAAGACCATCAAATACAGGGCAGTCTTCGCCAACATTAAACCTCTTCAACTGTCTCAATTGATCTTGCTGTGTTTCAGGGGTGATGCCTCTCAAAAAGGCCACATAATCATCGGCATGGAACTTGCAGAGGTCCCTATCCTTGGCAGCAGTAGGCTTCAGAACCTGCATGTGTTGAAGCAATCCATAGTGGGCTAAAAGAGCATGCGTCATTCGAATCCGATGTGGCTTCATTGGGTGCCCCTGCCCATAATAATAGTTTCCAACCTCTGGATCATAGAAATATGAAACCTTTCTCTTCACACCATCTGACCCTGATGGAAGGGAGTTCCCTCCACTTTCCATTCCACAATCTATAAATCACCCCAAACAATGTTAATCAAGAAACAAAATAATAATAATAAGAAGAAGAATAGTAGTAATAACAAAAACTAACAATAGTATTATAGTAGTAAGAGGGAAAACAAGCAAAAATCCGTAATTATTAGGTACCAGTATTTAACAACCTAAGATTATAAAGAAATGCAAATATCATAAGCTGATCCATAATAACAAAAAGTGGCCAACAACTTATTCTCTTAACTGTTGAGAACCGGCAGAAATAATTAAAAACTAACTAGCCTTTATAATTACAAATTGCTGTTTCATCTAGAGCCCTCAGACCTCACAGCATGAGAAATGTAGTCAAACAGTGAAAGGAGGGGAAAAGGGCAGAGTTTGAAGTTTTCACTTTTCAGCCCCCAGATACATAGGGGGAAGATAGAAGATAAGATCTGGAAAGGGGTAAATGCCAATAGACAGAATTTAAACTGCTAAGAGAAAACAAAGACAGAAGGGAAATATCGAGTGTTTCAAATGACCATCGAATAAATAAAATTACTTTACAACCAGGAAAAAGTAATTATTAGTCTCCATAGCGTATATCAGATTAAAAAAAAAACGAGGAGAAATGTAGATCGGTGAAAAATCCAGGTCATGGGGTGAGTTCACAGAGAAAAATCTCACTCTAGTTCTAGCAGCGCTAACGAATAGCTGAGTTCAGAAATTCAGATAGCTGAAGCAGCTCCGCCTCTGAAATGGATACAATTTTCTACTGCCAGGGGGCAGTGTCAGGTAGAGGATTTAAACCGTGTAATTTTGGAGACCCAAGTCTCCTTACTTATATTTTGTTTTTGATTCATTATTAAAAACTTAAAAAAAAAAAAAAAAGTCTCCTGTATTTAGTTATATTGTGTTTCCACCTCACTACGTTTCAAAGTTTTATAAATCTTATATTTATTGAAATAAATTGCATCATTTGAAATTCAGGAAAGAAATATCATTTAGTAGTATTTTCAAAGAGTTGCAAATGGTTCCGCGTCTGGATGTTTCTAGAAGAGCTAAACCTATGTTATAGGTAATAATATCTAGAATTTTCAATGAAAAAATATATAATATATAAAAGATTATTTATTAATTATTAAATATATTTATAAATTTATTTTTTTATTTTTTATTTTATTATTTATTAATAATATATTATTTCACTTTTCAAAATCAATGATCAATTAGTACTTAATTATATGATTTTGAATTAATAGAAAAGAAAATTAAATATAATAATAATAAAAATATTCACTAATAAAAAAACATCTTTTAATTTTTAAAACAAAAAATAATATATATATATATAGATAAAATAAATAAAAGTCACTTCTATTTTTATATGATTATATAATTATAAGTTTAATTTTTACATAAATATTTTAATAAATCATATACATTATCAAACTATAAATATTTATATTAAAATTATTTTGATAATTTTTATAAAAAAATAAATTATTATTTTAATTAAAATTAATGTATCCTAAAAATTATCTTATATAAAATTTCATTTCTTATAAAAAATAAATATATTATATACAATTTAATAAATATAAATCAAAATTGTATGTAATTATTAAAAGAAAACATCTTATCTAATAAAAAAATATTAAAAAATTTAATAATTTATAATTTATTTTATAATTGTTCATTAAAGATGTTATATTTATATATTGTTAAAAACATGTAGTTTATATAATTTTAAATAAACATTAAATTTGAAAATAAATGGGTTAATTATAATATTTTATTTTAAAAAAATTAAAAATATTAAGTAAGTATATATAATTGTTCATTAAAGATTTTATATTTATATATTGTTAAAAACATGTAGTTTATATAATTTTAAATAAACATTAAATTTAAAAATAAATGGTTTAATTAGAATATTTGTTTTTTAAAAAAATATTAAGTAAGTATATATAATAGTATATAAAAATAAATTATATATGTATTTATTTTAAAATATAATATAAGAATAATTAATTTATTTATTATATTAATATTTATGTATAGTTTATATAAAAATATATTTTATTTTTATCTATTTTACTAAATAATTATTTTATATATATATATATATATATCAATTATTCATCGCTCTATATTATTATTTATAATGTTTTAATTAATTAAATTAGTTTTATTATTCATCTCATCCTCTTTTATATAAAATATTTGTTTAAATTTTTTCTTTAAAATTAATTTCTAAAATCATTTTTAAAAGTAAAAAAAATAAAATCTTATTATATAATATAATAAAATTTTATAGTGTGTGAAGCATTTTTCATATGTATGATAGTTGAAATATAATTTTGTAATTTAATATTTATTAAAAAGTCAAATAGAATATATTATAGATAATCAATATTATTATGAATAAATGTACTTCTTATCATTGATTTTTTGTTATTTTTAATTAAATATCTTTATCTGTTATCAAATAATAATTTTATTATTTAATAAAAATACAAATTATTAACCACACAATTTTTCTATTTCAAAATAATCGCATAAATTTATACTTAAAAGTGTCAGTTAACCAACTTTCTCTAAAAAGTGTCGATTGAAAATTTTGGATGACTTTTGATTTAAAAAAAATAGATTTAGAAATTAATTTTAAATATTTTATTTTAAAAATATTTTTATAACTTTAATATAAAAAATATTTTGAACAAAACAGTTTTAAAGAGTAGCAAATATTTTCAATCACATTTTTTTATTAAACTAGCAAACATAAACAATAGCGTGAAAATATAAAATTAATAAAACATATTTTAATATTTTTAAAAAAATAATTAGAAAATAAAAATATTTTTTATTAAACTATTCTTTTAAATTTTTAATAACTAAAAAATTATAAATTAATAAAATAAAAACAAACAAGTATTTAAAAAATTATATTTTATCTCAAACCTTCAAATTTTTTCTAAATTATCTATTTTTAAGATTTTGTTATTTTAGTGTAACATAATTACATATATTCTCTTACATCCGTTTATATTAGTAATAATATAAGTAAATTAAAACACAAGATTGTAAATTAAATATATAATTATTTGACAATTGAAAGTAATAATATCATAATATAATTAATTTTAAAAATAAATAAAATTATTATTTTAACAAATTAAGTTATAATCAATTAAAAAATATTATTATATTAATAAATAAAGTTATTGAATGATGAAAAATAATTTTGTTGTATATATATTTTTTCTAAAACTTTATTACAAATAGTTAAATTCATATTTTTGTTTATTAATGAAACAATTCGTATAAAAGAAAAAAAGGAGACATAATTAATTGAAGGTGTACGTATTATATATATATTTTTAATAATAAATACAAATATAAAATATTAGGAATATAAAAAATTAATTTAAAAAATAAATATGATTTTAGTCCATATAAAATTAATAAGTTTTAGTTGTTATTTTTATAGAAGTTTTTATTTATTTTTAATCTAATAAATTTTGAAATACTTATCTTTAACTTGTATAGAATGTGTAAAATTTAGTTTTCTTGCTGATAAAATAGTTTTATCTCTAAAATATTATAAATATCTATTTTCACTATTTTTATGATAAATAAATAAATTTTATTTTTATAGTGTTTGAGTGTTAGATGTTGAAAATGTATTACAATGATGCAAGTATGCTAACTTGATCTAAGAAGCTTTTGATTAAAATAATATAATACTAGGATAAAAATTAAAATAAGAAGTCACCTATTTTTTGAAAAATTAAAAATATATTTAAAATTTTTGAATTTTAATAAAGTTTGATCCAAATTAAAAAAAAATGAAGTCAAAATGATTTCAACCAATTTCATTGTTGCCAATTACAATAGCATATAAAATAATATGAATTATCATTTTCAATTAACATGTTAGTTATTAGGGTTAATTTTAACTTTCATGTGTTGATTGGGATTGAAGTTTAGTTGATATTCCTTTGTATAATGTAGCGGTGTCTTGGTGTTGACAGTGAGAAATTTGGCCGGAAGAGAATGAAGAAGTGTTACAACATTTGAACCGAGATAGAACCCTTATTTGTGATTGGTGATTTTAGTCCCGCCCTTGAATGCTGCAGCAATTCACCGTGATTTTAATTGGAACCACAATTTTAATTTAGTGGGAGGTGGGAAGGGTGGCATTGAAATTACAACCGGGGTTGAGTCGAGCAGCAGCAGTGTGCGGAGAAGGTTACCAAAACAAAACTTGGGTCCCATGGACTCCCAAACACAGAGAGTGGGTCCTTAGCTTTTGTATTTCATTAATCATCTTAATTTCATGGGTGCCGCCCACTTACTTTCAATTTCTTTTAATCCCTCAGGCTCAAGAAGAAGAAGAAGGAGAAGAAGGGGCGGAATATCTCTTCCAACGCTTGCAGGAGTCCCCAGATGACGCCTCCGTACATTTTGATATTGTATGCATTGGTCTTACCTTTTTGTTTATTTCATCTGCCGCACTTTCGAGTTGTTCATTTTTTATAATTCGATGATTTAGGGTGTGTACTTATGGGAAAAAGAAGGAGAAGCCAAGGAAAAAGCTGCTCAACATTTTATTATTTCGGCCAAATTAGACCCCAAGAATGGAAAATCTTTTAAATATCTGGGTCATTATTACGGCAGCGTTTCCCTTGATACTCACAGAGCTATCAAGTGTTACCAACGAGCTGTTGTTCTCAGTCCAGATGATACTGAGTCCGGGGTAAGCGATGTATTTACTCATCCATTCCGTTTATAGCTCAATAATTACCTTCACATTATGCAAAGAATTAATGACAATTTTGCTTTCGTTCACCTAACTTCGATTTTCTTTTTTCTCATATCAGGAAGCTCTGTGCAATTTACTTGACCGAGGAGGAAATGAGAGTTTGGAGGTGGTGGTATGCCGGGACGCGTCTGAAATGTCACCGAGAGCTTTCTGGGCTTTCCGAAGATTGGGTTTCCTGCAGGTTTTTTCTTTCGATTTCTTCTACTTTTCTATTTTTTTAAAGACATAATCACTCATTTACCTTTTTCTGTATATCATACTCTTTTCTAGTGTATTCTTTAGACTCTCCTAACAACTGCATTCTACAGAATTTTCCTGTCAAAGCAGATCAGACAATTTAATTTTCAAATTGATCTTTTTTTGACGTCTATCTAAATCCTCAATAAATTTCTTTTAATTAACTCAGTGCTGACACCGGCCATATATTGTTTTTTATTCACTAATTAACAGGTTCATCAAAAGAAATGGTGTGAAGCTGTTCAGAGTCTTCAACATGCCCTTAGAGGCTATCCTACTTGCGCTAATTTGTGGGAAGTAATTTTCAACTCTCTTTCCTTCCATTGAATTTACCTTTCCATTTTGGATAAATATTTAAAAATTGTTAGGCTTTTGACCTTGCTTATCATCGTCTGGGCATGTAGTTTTTTGATAAATATTTAAACTTTTGTTAGGCTCTGGGCCTTGCTTATCAGCGCCTGGGCAGGTTTACTGCAGCTATAAAGGTAACCACTTCTCTTGGATTCGTTTTATATCATTTGTATGATTGATCCCCCAATTTCTGTTTTTGCTTATGGGTCCTCCATCAGTCTTATGGCCGTGCAATTGAGTTGGATGATACGATGGTCTTTGCTTTGGTTGAAAGCGGAAATATCTCTATGATTCTTGGTTCATTTAGCAAGGTACACTTAGCTAATCATTTGTTGTTATCCTGTACCCTTTTTCGTCCGGAGTTTGTTGTTTTCAGTGGTTGAATTTCTTCCTTCCATTTGTTTTACATCAGTTTGGTGCAAGAATGGTAAAAGTAATATATGACTGGAAGATGTAATATGTCCTTTTCCTGACTCCTATGATATGAATGACAATATTAATTTGATCATGGTAGTTCAAGCTTAACTAGGTTGAAGCATCTCATGATTCATATTAGTCGATCTTACAAAGTGAGATAAGACTTTTGTTTTTGTTTATTTATTTAATAAAGGGTTATCCTATGTAGGGCTTTTATCAATTTTCAAAGTAGTTTAAATGGTAAAAGATGGAACCAATTACAGAAGTCTGTATAGGGTGGCAATTGGATCTATTGATTCATCATCCATCCAATTCATTTTTATCCAAATCCAGTCCAGGCCATCTTATTACAACAACCAAACCTTTTATCATTAGTTGGAGTACATTGATGTCCTCCAATGTGTTAGCCACTAGAAATCTTTTAACTTCCATTGTACCATGAGCTTTTTCTACATGTGAGACTATATCATGGTTTGTTTGTTTGTGGGAAACTACTCTGAGTTGCATTTGAAGACATTGAATATCATTAGTAAAAATGTCTTGGGTTTTCTTCTGAAAAGAACATGCCTTGAATGATCACTACCATAAAATAAAACAACTGGAAGTCCATTGTTTGCTATTGAGATTTAGTTTTTTCTAGGAATAACACTAGATTCCATCTCTACATGATCATGCTATCCTTGACCAAGAACCATAACTCCACTGGCCAGATTATTTTTCAAGTTGATTTTCATAGTTGTAATGGTAGGAGTAACAGAAAAATAAGGAACATATTCTATGGAGGCCATTTCAAGGGCACAAAAATAATCAGATATGAGTTGTGAGGGAAACTATGAGAGGCCGTGAGAGATAGAATTGACCAACAACTCAAGTATGTTAAAATTGAGAACCAAAGGTAGAAATGTGCCCAAAAGATGCTTACGAGATGAATGGAGGTGGTCCAAGGTGATTCTAACAATAGAGTGGCAACATGTGGGGCACACGACAACTTGTTGACTGAGATTGTTGTGTCTGAGGGTTGTGAAGACCTGGTTTTAAAGAAAATTTGTGAAGACTTGCAGAGTCTTAGAATAGTTATTAAATCTATGTATAATCATTGGAAGCACCTACCAGCTGTCCTACTGTTGTTTCTAGTTTTGTATCTAGGTGTCTATGCTCTCTTGTATCAGATTTTTCACTATAAATAGAAGATGATTAAGAGGGGTAATAAAGTCCTTCAAAATATATTTTCTTGTTTCTTAACGTTAAGTTGGTATAAGAGTGGGTTGATCCCGCTTTGACTATCTCAGTCATCTCCGAAGCCACCGTCCGCTGCCGTTCACCGTCACAGTTTCGTCCGACGTCCACCAAATCTAGATCGCCTCTCCGAGCGACGGCCAACCCCTGTCGGTCTCGGAAGCTAGTTCCCTCCCACGTGCCATCACGAGCCTAGTCAAAATCGGCACATTCAGGTTCGTGTCCCCTTCACGCGTCGCCTTCTCCGCATTCGAACGTTGTCGCGCTACCTCCGTGGGTATCGTTGAAGAGTATAGGTCAGGTTAGAGTGGCCCGAAGCTTCTTCTTCCTTTTGGAGGCAACATAGTGTCTATATGCAATTTCTACCATAGCCATTCACCATCACCATTTTGCAATGCCCAAAGTGGCTGTGATGGGCTACCATGGAAAACCTGCTTCAACACTGCCATGTTGTAGTGGGCAGTGAAAAACCCTCCACCACCATGGCTTATTCTTTATCACACATCATATTATTCAAATCTTATATAGTTCACTGTAGCTTGTTCCGTTTTTTCAATCTCTCATTATATAAACCCTTTAATTTCAACTTAGTATCAAAGAAGAGCTAGACTGAAAAATGTAGGCCACGTGTTTTCTTGCTAGAAAATTCCCATATAAATAGTGTAATACAATCTGATTTTTTCAGCCTTCAAAAATAACTAACTAAATGTAATTTTTCTTTGTCAGTTTTTTGTTATTGCTAGACTGTTATAACTTATAACTGACCTCTTGGTTGAGCTTCTGCCATATATATAGGTGTTGTAAGCAAAAGCTCCTTAGTTGTGAAAATTTATCCTTTGTTATAAACTAATGGATGGATTCAAGGGCCAAGTTAGCATTATCTGGTGGGAGTTTGAATTTAGTATATTTCAATTCTCTTGCTATAGATTTTTTGCTGCTAATGACAAGACTGTTCTTTTGTTGTTTTATCAAATTAGAGCACCCTCGTAATGCAGAAGACAGTATAAAATACTGTCTCCAAACCCATACTTGAAGAATATGAAAGTGTATTGTTTCTAACAAATATGATGCAGTTGTTCCATTAATGTTCAGCTGTTTCTATTTATTAGTGACATGTTAAACGCTGAGCTTTTCTACATGAAGGGAGTTGAACAATTTCGTCAAGCTTTGGAGATTTCACCACAGTGTGTGCCTGCACAATATGGACTTGCTTTGGGGCTGCTTGGTTTGGCAAAAGATTGCATCAACCTAGGAGCATATCAATGGGCGGCTTCACTGTTAGAGGTTTTTCTCTTCAATTTTTTGTTTTAATAATTTTTATGTTGTTTCTTATTAAGTTGGACAGTTCCATTTTGGCAACATTTAGGTAACATATTTGAATTAACTGCAGGAAGCATCTGAAGTTGCAAGGGCAAGTGCTTATTTTTTAAGAAACATCTCATGTATTTGGAAACTACATGCTGATATTCAGGTATTGTTTACTTTTTAAATCTTGAAAAGCTTCTGTTTTAATTTTTTTCTTCTTCTATTTTAGGTATTATTTGTTACGACAGTGCATTAACTACTCGTCAGTATGTATGATGGCATGGATTTATCTTTACTCCTCATATTATTATTATTCAATGCTATTTTATTTTGGTCTGTTGTAGCTTGCATATTCTAGATGCTATCCTTGGATTGAGGATGTTCAAGAATTGGAATCTAATAATGAAGCTTTCAGTGCTTCTATAATTTCTTGGAGGAGTACCTGCCTTTTGGCTGCAAGACATGCAAGGTTTTCGTATGAACGAGCCTTGCACTTGTCTCCATGGCAAGCAAACATCTATGCTGACATTGCTGTGACTTCAGATCTTATAGCTTCACTGGACAAAAGTTTCCAGCAAGACATAAATGCATGGTATGTTGTATGCAATCAACTTATTTTGAATGACTTTGAATATTGTGCTTCCCTCAACATAGTTTTCAAAGCAGGCAATTGGCAGAGAAGATGTCTATGGGAGCCCTGCTACTTGAAGGTGACAATTATGAGTTCTGGATGGCGTTGGGATGTTTGTCTAATCATAATGCACTAAATCAGCATGCTTTGATAAGAGCATTACAATTGAATGTATCTCTAGCTGTAGCTTGGGGATATCTTGGGAAGGTATTGTCATGTTTCATCAGCAAACAATAACGACTTGACTTGATAATTTTCATGGTTGTTAGTAGTTGTTCCCATAATTGCTTTTCTGACAGTTGATATGTCAAAAAGAAGGAAACTTAATAATTGAAACTGATTTCTAAATATGCTATCAAATAAATGCCATGGCAGAAATCAGTAACAACCTGATTTGTTATTTTCATCATTTTTGGTGATTGTTCCTATAATTGCTTTCTAAGAAGTTGATACGACAGAAAAAGAAGGAAACTTAATAACTGAATTTGATTTGGTTAATTATGTTTTTAGTCCAAGTTATGATAAATAAAATTTCAGTCCCTCAAATTAAAAAAGAAATATTTTAGTTCCTGAAATTTAGTAAAATATGGTTTTAATCCTTAAATACTAAATTTAAAAGACTAAAACTGTTGTGGTTCCTGGTAGAGTCACGGGTGACTGTACCATCACCTGTGGCCTGTTTTCCCATCCTCAACTTTTCTGTTGTCATCAACTCACTAAAACATCACCATCAACCATTGCAGCACCACCACCTGGCCCCTTCTCCCTATTAGTTTGGTACAAGTGTTGTTGCAGTTTTTACTTCAGTTATCTTATAATTATTGAGTGATTATAGTTGTAACTGTTGCTTAGTTATTAGGCGGTTATGTTTGTAACGGTTGCTTATTTTAGTATTTATAATTTGGGTCTGGTATAATTGAAAATAGGGATCTTTTGATTATGTTAATGATTTTGTTTATTGAAAATTATTGAATACACTCTTCTGTTATGTTAGTGCGTTTTTGTTCTCTCATCAAACTTTAACATGGTATCAGAGCTTTGTTACTGATCCATACAATGGTTAGTCCTATTTCCCACCCTTCCCCTAACCCATTTTTTTCACATTCCCTATTTGAAAAACTGGATGACTCCAATTATTTGCATTGAAAGCAGCAGATTGAACCCGGTATTAAATCCCATAAATTTCATCGATTTGTTGCCAATCCTATTATACCTCCCAGATTTCTCTCAGATTCCGATCGTGAGACTGGAACTATTAATCCAGCCTATGAAGAATGGGAAGTGCAGGATCAACTTTTACTCTCTTGGCTTCAGTCCACATTATCTAAAAATATTTTATCACGAGTTCTTGGTGCTGTTCACTCTTACCAAGTTTGGGAGCAGATTCATGATCATTTTTTCACTCAAATGAAGGCCCGTGCGCGTCAATTACGCACTGATTTGCGTACTCAGACACTTGGAAACAAAACTATGAAGGAATTCTTAAGTCAGATAAAGTCTATTATTGTCGATGACCTTGCTGGAATTGGATGTCCATTCAAGCCTGATGAATATGTTGATGCCATCCTTGAAGGGCTTCCACCTGAATATGCTCATGTGATTTCTGTTATTGAAAGCAAATTTGAGTCATCTTCCATCATCGAAGTTGAGGCCCTCCTTCTTGCTCATGAATCTCATACTACCCGTCATCAACAAAAAGTTTTTTCCTCCTTCAATTCACTATTCCCAAGCACCTTCCAATTTTGCATCTCCCAGATCTTTTGGTCGTGGCAATCCCTTTAAAGTGGGTCCCAATCATGGTGGTAAAAACATTCGTGGCCGTGGTCGAGGTGGTCGCTATGCAAATTTTCAATGTCAAATTTGCCTTAAATATGGTCGTACGGCCAATGTATGCTTCTATCGGGGTGAGTTTCGGTTATTTACATCTTTTTCTTACTACCCATGGCATTCTTCCCAGGATTATTTGCCCTCATACTCATCACCAAAATGGTGTTGTTGAACGCAAACATAGACACATCACTGAATTGGGATTAACTTTATTGCATCACGCTTCTCTCCCCTTAGAAGTTTTGGGATTTTGCCTTCCAAACAGCAGTTTATTTAATTAACATATTACCCACTACCTCATTACAGTTCAGCGTGCCTTACACTATTTTGTACACCACTCCTCCTGACTACTCCTTAATGAAAGTCTTTGGTTGTGCCTGTTTTCCTTTTCTTCGCCCATATAATCGTCATAAACTAGATTTCCACTCCCAAGAGTGTGTGTTTCTTGGTTATTCCCCTTCCGATAAAGGTTATATGTGTCTTTCCCCATCTGGTCGTGTTTACACATCTAAGGATGTCATTTTTAATGAACTTAGATTCCCTTATTCTGATATGTTTTCTCAGTCTCTTATATCTGCACCTGATCCAAATAATTATTTCACTCTCACACCAAATCTCTCTCCTCCCCTTTCATCTATTTTTTCTTCTTCTCGATCTGCTCCTGATGTTTCTACGTCTGTTCCCTCTGTGTCTCCTCCTGTCTCTAGGTCATTTAATACTCATTCCATGCAAACCAGGTCCAAAATTAGAAAATCTTCATTGTTACTAACTCATATTGAACCTTCAAGTGTCTCACATGCTCTCAAGAATCAGCATTGGGTTGCTGCAATGTAACAAGAGTATGATGCACTTCTTCATTATCACACTTGGGATTTGGTTCCTCTCCCTCCTGACCGCAAGGTTGTTGGTTGCAAATGGGTGTTTCGGATTAAAGAAAATCTTGATGGTTCTGTTAATAAATATAAAGCCCGGTTGGTTGCCAAAGGCTTCAATCAAGTTCTAGGATTTGATTTTCATGAAACTTTCTCCCCAGTTATAAAACCTGTTACCATTAGAATCATCCTCACGGTTTCCTTAACTACTAAATGGGATTTATTTCATTTGGCTGTTAGCAATGCCTTTTTGAATGGGAGTCTTAATGAAAGTATTTATATGGTACAACTTCCTGGATTTGAAACTGCAGATAAAAATTTGGTTTGTCGACTCAATAAAGCCATTTATGGTCTTAAATAGGCTCCTCGACAGTGGTTTGCCAAACTTCAAACTACTCTATTGAAGTTTGGTTTTTCTTGCAGCAAAGCAGATCCCTCTTTATTTATCTATGATCATGATTCTCAAACAATTTACATCTTAGTTTACGTTGATGACATTATAATTACAGGTTCGTTTGCTTCTCTCATTCATAAAATTACTCACAGTATGCATTCTCACTTCTCTCTCAAGCAATTGGGTCAACTTGACTATTTTTTGGGCATTGAAATCAATTATCAGTCTGGTAAGTCCTTGGTACTAACTAAAACAAGTATGTCTGTGATCTTTTGAATAAAACCAAAATGGCTGAAGCTCATCCTATTTCTTCTCCTATGGTTTCATCTTGTACACTGTCTAAGACTGGATCTGATACTTTTTCTAATCTCACTCTTTATCGATAAGTTGTTGGAGCATTGCAGTATGCTACTCTCACTTGTCCAGATATCAGCTATGCTGTGAATAAGGTTTGTCAGTTTATGGCTAATCCACTAGATGCACACTGGACTGCTGTTAAAAGGATTTTACGATATCTTAAAGGAACTATTTCCTATGGTCTTCATGTACAATCTGCTAGTGCCTCTAAGCCCTTTTCTATCACAGCAGTGTGTGATGCGGACTGGGCTTCTAATGTTGATGATAGAAAATCTACCTTTGGTTTGACTATTTTTCTGGGTCCTAATCTTATTTCATGGTGGTCTCGTAAGCAGCGTGTTATTGCTCGTTCCAGAAGCTGAATATCGAAGCTTGGTTCAAGCTTCTGCTGAACTATTATGGATTCAAGCACTTTTAAAAGAACTATCTATTTCCTTCTCCACTCCGGTTATGCTGTGTGATAATCAAAGTGTTGTTGTCATTGCTCACAATCCTGTTTTTTACTCTAAAACAAAACATATGGAAATTGATGCTTTTTGTGTTAGGGATCAAGTCTTGGCTCATCAGCTTGAAGTTTGTCATATTCCCAGTTTGGATCAGTGGGCTAATGCTCTTACCAAGCCTCTCTCTCCTACTCGCTTCCAACTTCTTCGGTCCAAACTAAGTTCGGGGTTTTGTTGTTTACTCTCCCTCACCTTGAGTTTGAGGGGGATATTAGTTTGGTACAAGTGTTGTTGCAGTTTTTACTTCAGTTATCTTATAATTACTGGGTGATTATAGTTGTAATTGTTGCTCAGTTATTAGACAATTATGTTTGTAACAATTATGTTTGTAACGGTTGCTTATTTTAGTATTTATATTTTGGGTCTGGTATAATTGAAAATAGGGATCTTTTGATACTGTTTATGGTTTTGTATATTGAAAAGTATTGAATACACACTTATGTTATGTTAGTGCGTTTTTGTTCTCTCCTCGAACTTTAACACTCCCAATGCATTTTCCTAAACCAAATTGCAAGGTTCAATTTTTTTTTTCTTTTTTCTAGTACCTTGTTTATTCTGCTCTTATTCTCCTCTCCCTTTTTCTCTTTTTTTCTTCTCTATAAAACTGAAACCCTGAATATATATTTCTAGCAACCCGAATGACAACTGAAAAAGGTAGTTTAACTTAGTTATGCTTTGCTTTGGGTATTTCATTATTTGAATTTCTAGACTTGCTATTATTATTATTATAAATTTGTTTGATTGCATTCATTATTTTTGCCTTGTAATTACATTTCAGCATTATTTTATTTATCTATATTTGTATAGTGTATTTATGTTGTTTGCAATGCTTCCACTGTAACTATCATGACATCCAATATATTTTTGTAAAGGATTTTTTGGTTGGCCATATTTTCTAGTATTTGATATCAACAACATTGATTTCTATTGATAAGAAACAATCGAGATTAGCTCGTTAGAATCTGTCAGAACAAAAAATTTAGTAAATAAAAAATCAATAAACACTGCTGATGCACAAAAATTCTTGCCAAGTCCGTCCCTTTTCCTATCATAACTCATGCTCCTTCTCCCCTATTCCCTTTCTGCCCTTTTTAATATCCATCCTGATTTGTCTTCTTTTTCTGTTCACTCCCTGTCATAAGTTTGGTGTAAGTAATCTATTTCTTCGGTTGCACTCCTCTCAGATGAAAATGGGTGCTTATCCCTAGTTATGCATGGTTTGTTAACCTCTGTGCCTTTGGGACATACTTTGATGCAGAAGATCGCATGACATTGGGAATTCTTAGTGCAATCTTTTCAACTTGTGTTTGTGTGATGTTTTCAGCTATATCGTAAAGTTGATGAAAAGCAATTGGCAAGACAATTGTTTGATCGTGCTAGAAGTATTGATCCCAGCCTTGCATTGCCATGGGCAAGCATGTCAGTCGAGTCTTGTGTGAGGTATAACTCTGCTTTCATTTGTTTTTGCATTATCATGTAGCAATAGCATGTAAAGGTAGTTTAGTCTTTATGTCAATTAGTTTACTGGTTTTCTAACTATATGTTGTCTTTGTCTAATAGGGAGCTTGAATCAGATGAGGCATTTGAGAGCTGTTCACGGGCTGTGCAGATAATGCCAGTAATTTACTGATTCCTATTAGTTCACATGCAATGTGTTGATAAACATACATACATCCCCCCCCCCCCACACACACACATATTGTCCTATTGTTGGGATTTGGTGTTTATTTATCGTTGTTGTTGTTGTAGTTAAATATTAGAATGTTAGGGTACAAATCTAGGTTGAGAAAAGAAGAAATTATAAGATACGTTGTTCTAGTAAAAAAAAATTCTCTGGGTGTGTTGCACTGTTATTTTAAAAAAGTTATCTATCACCTGTGCAGTTAGCTGAATTCCAACTTGGGCTCACTAAGCTTGCTTTGTTGAGTGGGCATCTGTCATCTTCACAGGTTAGATTATGTTGTAGATTTTTTATATTCTGTTGTGTTGCCTCTTCTGAAGATGATGCCTACCTTGAAATTCATGCCACTGCTACATTTACTTATCACAGGTTTTTGGAGCTATTCAGCAGGCTGTGCAGCATTCGCCACACTATCCTGAATCCCATAATTTACATGGGCTGGTTTGTGAGGCTAGAAATGATTATAACTCTGCCGCTACATTTTACAGGTTAGCACGTCATGCATTTAACATTGGCTCACAGAGTACTCAAAACTCACATATCAGGGACATATCAATCAATTTGGCCAGATCACTTTCTAAGGTAAACTATGCTAGAGATGTCTCAATCTTGTATTTCTGAAACACCATAATGATATTCACTAACTCATTCTGTTTGATACAGGCAGGGAATGCGGTTGATGCTTTGAAGGAATGTGAAAATTTGAATAAAGAAGGTTTAGATCCAGATTTTGTAATTTAACTGTTAAGGTTCTTCTATTTAATTGTTATATATCATACAACTGTGGGGGTTGAATGTTACTCTTAACTTATTCTTATTCATGATAAGTTTTCTTCATAATTCATATGAATGATTTATGAAGTAAATTGAAGCTGTGTGTTAGTGTGAACTGTGCCAAATATAAAACATGTGATTTTGGGATATTTTCCTTATGTTTTATAGTTAGATTTATTATTTTTATTTTTTTTGAAGGATGTTTTGAATGAGAATGGTGGGAAACATTTTTTGAATTCTTCAGTTTTTGTTGACACCACTGTATAATATATTTTTTTAGGGGCACTTGATGAAGAAGGTTTACAAGTATATGCTTTCTCTTTGTGGCAACTTGGTGAAAATGATTTGGCTGTTTCTATAGCTAGAAGTCTTGCTGCAACTCTCTCTTCTATGCAAAGGACATCTGTGGCTACATCCATATGTTTCATTTGTAAATTAGTATACTACATATGTGGACTGGATGTTGTCGTCACTAGCATTTTGAAAATGCCAAAGGATCTATTTCAAAGTTCAAAAGTTAGTTTTGTTATGTCAGCTATCCATGCTCTTGATGGACAAAATCGACTTGAATTTGTTGTCATGGGTAGCAGATCTTTTGTCAAATATTATGAAGAAATCGCTGGGATGCACTTTTTAATAGCACTTAGTAAATTGGTATTCTTTTTTCTCTTAATTTTGATTCTTCCTCTTTCCTTTGCTCCCCCATCAAGAGATTGTAACTTGGAAAAATGTTATGGTATGGTTTGGACAGGTGAAAAATGAGTCTGATTACTGCCTTGGCATTAAGAGTGGAGTTGCTCACCTAAAAAAAACTCTGCACATGTTCCCTAACTACAGTTTGATAAGGTAGATTTTTTATAACCGCCAAAGATCATTCATTGAATAGAGATATTATCAAATTATGGTATATAAGTGGATGCAAACCTCATCCTATACATTGATTTTGTAAGGTTGAGTTATGTCTAAATTCACCTTTTAAAATGATATCAGAGTCATAAGATTTTATGTTAAATGTTGTCATATTCTCTTAAGTGGTTGATATGTAGTCCATTGGTGAATACTTTTTCCTATGTTTCTTGCCTTCAAATTATCAAACAAGTGTTGGAGATCCCACATTGACTAAATATATGATTAAATTATAGTATATAAATGGATGCAAACATCACTTTATAAGTCAATTTTTGCAAGATTGAATTAAGTCCAAATTCATTTTCTAATATGGTATCAGGACCTATTTTAATGAGGTTTGTTAGGCATATTGTGTCACCAACTATTGGGCTACTATCATACCACCTACAAATATCTAGTCCCAAATTCTCAAGATGTCTAGTCTGTGTCAACGGGTGAGTTGGAGACCACCCATAAATATCTAGTCCCACATTCTTCAGATGCTTAGTCCTTGATGTGAAGGGGTGTGTTGGATATCCTACATTGATTAAAAATGTGATCAATTTATAATATATAAGTGAATGTAAACCTCATTTTATGAGTTGATTTTATAGGATTGATTTACATTTATTTTCTAATAATAACAAAGACCAAGATTTAAATAGTGTTTTGATTTTATAGATATTAAGTTTTAATTACTCATTTAATCATTATAGTTTCACTCAATATTAGTGTGGTATGTGTTATTGGTTAGGGTTAAGAAAGAAAGTAGGTGAGGAACTAAAAGTATATTGATTGGATGTAAATAATACAATACCTTAACATAATTCCCAAATTTGGTCAAGTACTAGCCCTAGCCCACTAGTGTTAATGCTAGTGCCTATTAACTATCCATACACTATCCTTTTGATAATTAGGTGCCTATAAATTCCATTTTTATTAGCTTAGCAGAAGAAACTAATTGCTTTGAGTCCCTGAAAGCCCTCTTATCCTTGGCGTAGCCCTTTTTCTCAACTTGAGTCTTAAGTTCAACAATTTTCATCATTGATGAAGACTTGCACTTATTAGACAAAGAATTAGTAACTATTTCATCATTGATGAAAGCCCTCCTATCCTTGGCCTAGCCCTTTTTCTCAACTTGAGTCTTAAGTTCAACAATTTTCATCATTGATGAAGACATGCGCATATAAGACAAAGAATTAGTAACTGTTTCATCATTGATGAAAGCCCTCCTATCGTTGGCCTAGCCCTTTTTCTCAACTTGAGTCTTAAGTTCAACAATTTGCATCATTGATGAAGACTTGCGCTTATAAAATGAAAAGCTTTCAGTCCTTGAATGAATTAGTAACGGTTGAATATAGTGAAAACTAGGTATAGGATTAATTTCTTTTTTGTCTAAAATATACATAGGATAATATATTTATAATTAAGAGTAATACAAGTAAATATGGTAAAAACATATATTATGACTAATAATATTTAAAATATCTAGAATATCTAAAATATCTAACATTTCCCCTCAAGTTGATGCATATAAATCATATGTACGAAGCTTGTTACAAATATAATCAATTTTAGGTCTTCGTAAAAACTTGGTGAAAATATCTGCTACCTGTTCACTTGAGTTAATGAATGCGGTTTTAATGTTTTTAGATATAATTTTTTTCTCGAATAAAATGACAGTCAACTTCAATATGCTTGATCCTTTCATGAAATACAGGATTCAAGCTAATATAAAGAGCAGTCATGTCACATATAAGTGTCATTTGAGTGATATCTCCAAATTGCGATTCTTTAAGTAATTGTTTAAGTCAAACAAGTTCACAAGTGACAGAGGCCATAGCTCTATATTCTGTTTCTACACTAGATCTTGCTACAACACTTTGTTTCTTGCTCTACCAAGAGATCAAGTTACCTCCAATAGAAACACAGTATCTGGAAGTAGATCTTTTATCAAAAGGAGATCCTACCCAATCAGCATCTGAATAACATAGAACTTTAACTTGGTTATTGTGATCATATAACAAAACCTTTTCCAGGAGATCTTTTATTGTACTTTAATATACGAATAACTGCACTTCAATGATCTGCACATGAGAAATTAAGAAATTGACTCACCACACCAATTGCAAAGGAAATGTTAGAACGAGTAACAGTAAGATAGTTTAATTTTACAACTAATCTTTATTTTTCAAGATCTGAGAGAGACTTCCCTAATTAGGTAGGAGTTTGGTATTGGGATCCTTGGGTGTGTGAACGGATTTTGAGTTTATCAACCTAGTTTCTTTTAAAATAGCCAATACATACTTTTTTTGAGACATAACAATGCCATTATTGAATTGTGTTACCTCAATCCCCAAGAAATATCTAAGTTTGCCAGGATCTTTGGTCTGAAAGTGATGACAAAGGTGTTGCTTCATCTGGGAGATGCCATGGTGATCACTCCCTGTAAGAACAATATCATCAATATATACTATTAAATAGATACACCTAACACTTGAGTGACGGTAAAATACTGAATGATCTGTCTCATTGCGAGTCATACCAAACTGTTGAACAGCACTGCAAAGTTTTCCAAACCAGTCTCTAGGAGACTGTTTTAGGCTATATAAAGATTTGTGAAGACGACATACCAATCCAGAAGACTCTCCCTAAACAACAAAGCCTGGAGGTTGCTCTATATAAATTTTTTCCAGCAAATCTTCGTTAACAAAATCATTTTTGATATCTAGTTTGTAAAGAGGTTATTGTTGAAGAGCAGTCATGACTATGAATAAGAGAACAAAAGTCATTTTTGCCATTGGAGAAAAGGTGTCACTATAGTCCAAACCAAATATTTGTCTGTAACCTTTGGCCACAAGACAAGCTTTGAGACAGTCAATAGTGGCATTAAAAACAACTTTGATAGCAAAAACCCACCTGCAACCAACAATAGATTTCTCAGACAGTAATTGGACGAGTTCCCAAGTTCTACTATTATGAAGAATACTCATTTCATCAAGCATGACCTCATGCCAACAGGATGGGCTAAGGCATCACCAACAAATTTGGAAATTGACACAGACGAAATAGACGAAAGACAGATATAAAAAGGTGGAGATAATATGTGATAACTCAAAGTAGTATAATGAGGAGAAGGATTACGAGTAGAACATATATCTTTACGGAGGGTAATTAGAAGGTCAAACTTAGTTGTCGGAGTCGGAGGAGACAAAGGAGTTGGCACTAGATGTAAGTCATTTGCTGTTTGTTGGGATCGTTAATAAACCTGAAGTGGTGGTGGCAGAGGAGGATCTGAAGGTGGGCTAACAAGATAATCACACACAAGAATATTGACAGTAGTAGACGACGACACACACGGAGAAGGATATTTAAAGTAAAATGAAAATTCATTAAAGGTGACATATGTAGAAATAAAATAATGGTTAAAAGGAGAAACACTTATATCCTGTTTGTGATTGAGTAAATCCTAAAAGAAAACACATTTGTGTGATTTAGGAGATAACTTATAAAGACCAAGACTAAAGTTATGAACAAAATATGTAGACCAAAAAACTTTAAGAGGTAAGGAATGTAGAGGTTCATGAGGAAATAAAAGAGAATGAGGAATTTTATTATTTAGAACCGAAGATGACATGTAATTGATAAGATAACATGCAGTAAGAACAACATTACCCCTAAAATGTTTAAGAACTTTACCATGAATTAAAAGAGTGCAGTTGTTTCAACAAGATGTCATAAGATGCCATAAAATATTTAAAAGAACGAGAAAAATATTCATGACCATTATCACTTTGCAATAGGGGTGTCAAAGTGAGCCAATCCGGCTTAGACGGGTTGACTCACCACGAGTTGAACTAAAAATAGGTGAGCTCAACCCGGCTCAACCCACCACGGGTTGGTGGGTTAGGTGGGTTGGTTCACTAATCCATATTTTTTTAATTTTTTAAATATATATATATATATATATAATTGCATTGTAGGATATTAACACAATACTACAGTTTTCAAATAATGATTCATTAATCCAATCATTTAGGTTGTGGTACAAATTCTTATCTTTGAAAGCGGTACAGTGGACACGGTGGTGTAGTGGTGCAGTGGACAAATGATAAGACAAGTGACCCAAGTGCAGCGGCAAACGTAGTTGTGCGGCGAACAACTGATAACAAGCTTGAGTGAGGGTTTGGCTTGTGGCGGCAGCGACAATGCAGGGTAGAGGTAAGACAGGATAACATCAATTAGGGTTACTAAATTATTATAATTATTTTTAAAATTTAAAATAAATGATTAATTAGGATTAGTATATTATTAAAATTATTTTTAAAATTTAAAATTAATTGTGGGTTGCAGGCCAATCCACTATAACCTGACTCAAATCCGTTTAACCCATGGGTTAAGTGAGCCGGATTCATTTTTAACCCATAATCGGTTGAAATAAAAAAAAGTCGAACCCAACTCGGCTCGAACCCGTGGTGAGCTGGGTTGGCTCACGGGTTAGAACCCATATTGACACCCCTGCTTTGCAACATTCGAATAGAAATCCCAAATTTAGTTTTAATTTCATTAAAAAAAATTGGAATGTAGAAAACAACTCATAACGATTTTTCATTAAAAACAACCAAGTACTTTTGGAATAATCATCAATAAAGGTAACAAAATACCCAAATATATTACCTAGTTTTCACTATATTCAACATGGTATCTAGAGCTTAGGTTCTCTTTTTCTCCTTTTTTGCCGGCTGCCCTTGCACTTGCCACCGCTATCGTTGTCGTCACCGTTGCTGCTGGAATTACAATTCAGACCGGTAATCGCACCGTTCTTCTTGTCTCAACTAGACAACCACCGCGCCATTGAGATTGTCGTAGTCGGAGTCTCCACATGCTATTTAAAGTTTTTAGGATTTTTCTCTCTGTTTCTCAATGGCTTCTTTCGCTGCCTCTTCCGATATCTCTTCTTCTATTACTAATCTGTCTGACACGTCAGTCAATACTAATTATGTGAATGTGCACTTGTCTATTGGTAAGTTAGAGGATACTAAGTTTGCGACTTGGGCGTTAGACATTAAACTTTGGCTTAAGAGTCTGGGGTATGTTGATCATCTTATTCCGAATGTGACTACTATTGTTACAAGTGAAGTTTCCTGTTGGATGAAAATTGATGCTCAATTATGCATCATTCTCAAGTTTATCATTCACTCCTTTTTAAAGCAAATGTTTCGTGCCTATGAAACGTGGGAACAAGCAAAATTATTATACACTAATGACACTCAACGTCTTTATGGGATTTGTCACGATCTTCTCATTATTGTTGCTCCTCGAAATCATGGCCTAATGACTGAATATTTAGGTAAAATTCATGCTCTTCTTCATGACTTTAATGAGTCATTATCTCTTACCTCTACTCCTGCCCAAGAACTAGAGCAACGGTTAAAGTTCTTCATGTTATTGGCATTAGATGGGCTTGTTGACGAATATTCCCAGGTCCATGATCAGATTTTGAGTTCCCCTATTGTGCCCAATTTCACTTTTACATATTCCACCCTTTTGCGTGTGCCAAGTAAACACATCAATAATATATCTGCTTCCGTCGAAGATTCCTCTGCTTTGACATCTCAACGTGATAATCGCAAGCCAAGAAAAGAGCGTCACAAGTGCGATCATTGTCACAAGCTAGACCACAAGATTAATAGATGTTATGCATTACATGGCCGTCCTCCTTAACCTATTACAGTTGTCTAAACTGATCCTCCCTCACAATCATCTTCTGTGGATCTTACTTCCTCTTGTACTGTAGACAAATTTACTATTTTCAATGAATATTTCTAATGGTATGAGGATCATCATAAATCTTGTTCCACTACTTCTGTTGCACGCATAGGTACATCTTCTTTTGGCCTAACTCAATCTCCTTCTCTTGGACCTTGGGTTCTTGACTCAGATGCCACATACCATATTACTGGGAATAAATCGTTGATTTTTTCTTTATCCTCTTCGAATAATTTACCTTCGATTATAATGGCTGATGGGTCTAGGGTTTTGTCTCATGGTGTAGGTACTGATGTCCCTTTTTTCATCTTTATCCATTGATAATGTTCTTGATGTCCCTGGGTCTCTCTTTAACTTATTATTCATTAGTCGTCTAACTCATTCTCTTGATTGTGTTATTTCTTTTACCAAAGATTCTGTTTGTTTGCAGGACTGGAGTTAGAGACAGATGATTGGCATCGGATGTGATTCTTATGGTCTTTATCATCTACGCCCTTCTACACATGTTGGCATAATTATGGAGTCTCCATCTCTCCTCCATGCTCAACTAGGTCACCCCAATCTTGCCAAATTGCAGCAACTTGTTTCCAGCTTGTCCAATTTATCTAGTTTGTTATGTGAGTCATGTCAATTAGGGAAACATAGTCGTAGTTCATTTCTTCGTAGGTTCTGACAACGTTCTTTGTCTCCTTTTGCATTAGTTTGCTCTGATACCATGTTGAATATAGTGAAAACTAGGTATAAAATTATTTTTTTTTTTGTCTAAAATTTACATGTAGGGTAATATATTTATAATTAAGAGTCATACAAGTAAATATGATATATATATATATATATATATATATATATATATATTGTGACTAATAATATCTAAAATATCTAAAGTATCTAACTGTAACAACAAATTCATGGAATGAGGGATCAAGAAACGGATAGGGAGGGAAATGGCCTTTCCATTCTTGGTGGACCTTCCCTTGAATTGAACGGGTCATGAAGCTCTCAATTGAATTGTTTAGGTTTTGGAATTCCGTGGAGAGTAAGGGGTTTCAATTCAAAGGTTATAAAATGTGGTGCAGGTTCATCTCTTTTGACCAATTGGCTTTCTGGACTTGTCCTGAGTATGAAGTAATTCACTCTCAGATCTTGTTCAATAAGCAGTTGGGTAACCTCACAAATTCTTCCCTCGAGTTATGCAGTCTTCCTTTGAGGAACCCAAAGGTATTACAAAAAATGAGTATCTTGGTCGCTCTAGCTTGGTGGTTCAATTTGGGAACCCTGGCGTCACAATGGAGATAGAGGTAGAGGTGGTCGTGGCTGGGGACAGGGTGGAAAGCAATGGTACAATTTTAGAGAATTTGGTTATTAATGGAATCTGTGTACCCATCCTGCTCGCACTACTCTGCTATTTGGGAATGACAAGTATGAACAGAATGGTTGACCGCATTCCTAATTATGAGATGCTGTGATTCTCTTAATATTTTGGGATTGCTTTCCAACCAAAATAGACCACGAAGTGTAATAAAGTTAGGACACCACCACACCCTATAGATTGCTTCCATGTGAAAGTTTATGGATATTTTTGTGTGAATAGTAATGTTCCAACTTTTACTGGATACTTTAACATTATTTAAAATATGTCCTAGCATGCTTCATGAAGTAGGATTTTGGTAATAAACATACCCTGCCTCCCAAGCGTTTGGAAATGAATCTTTGTCCAATGTTTTTCTTTACCCTAATTTTTCAATTATGTTGATTCAATATTGCTAGCTCTGATTTTGCTGACATCCGTCCTTTTGCACATTTCTCTGGGAGCAGGAACCTTCTTGGCTACCTCTTGGTATCCAGTAAAGAGTTAAACAATTGTCATGTGGCAACGAGGTGTTGTAAACTGGATCATCTTGATCTTTCTGATAAAAAAGATTTCAAATCAGCTGCTGATATTCATGGTGCAGGAGCAGTTGCTTGCTATACCGCTGGCAACAGCAGCCCAAAGTTCACTTTTCCAACTTGTACAAAGCATTGTTCTAATAATCCTCGAGCCAGCAGATACCTGCAGAAGTACTATTTTTTATTTTCCTTTTGGCCCCATACTTGCCCCATAAATTTTCATGTTTTAAAATTCCTTTTTAAATTATTCCTAATCAGAATATGCATATATGTTGTTGCTATACCAATTTGTTTCGTTTTATGTGGGGAAAATAAGTATTTCTTGGGGGCAAAAATGAGTACATGAATTGTAGTTTTCTTTAGGTATCTGCAGATTATCCTCAGCCAAGAATAATCATGTTATATTTTCTCAAAATTGCAGGTACTTTCATCAGAAACCATGGAATCATGATATCCGCTACTTGCTTGTTCTTAACTATCTTCAGATGGCACGTGAACAAAGATTTCCTCAGCATCTTTGTGGCATACTACATCGTCTAACTCATGTAGCTCTTTCAAATGAATTGTATAGTAGGACAGGATTGTTGTACCAATATAGATACTTTCAATTTCTACTTTGTGCTTCTGAGATCAGTTTACAATGTGGGAATCATATGACCTGTCTCACCCATGCCAAAGCAGCTTCTGAACTTTTGCTTCCTGATGAATATTTATTCTTTGCACATCTACTACTGTGCCGTGTGTATGCTATGAAAGGTGATCATCCAAGTTTTCAAAAGGAATATATAAGGTGTTTGGAGCTCAAGACAGATTCTCACATTGGTTGGATCTGTCTCAAACTTATGGAATGTCGCTATGAACTGCAAATTGATTCAAATGCCATAGACCTGAACTTTGAAGATTGTATTAAAAGAAGTGGAAAGTTGTGCAATATGTGGGTGGCTGTATATAACCTAGTGAGAGGCGTGGTTTCCTTGCAGAAAAGGGATTTAGTCTCAGCTGAAGAGTTCATGAAACAGGCTTGTTCGTTAGTGGGTTTTGAGAGCTGCCTCTTTCTATGTCATGGTATATATTTGTTTTGGGCGAGAACTTTATTTACTAACCTTTGCATGCTTGCTATGCAGTATCATGTTACTACTTGAAACACTTTAGGTAGCTACTTCTGTAGAACTAAAGACTAATATGATAATAGTTTCATATATATATATATATATATATATATATATATATATATATATATATATATATATATATATATATATATATATCGCCCGCGCAAACACATACACACATGAGGCGAGAGAATCAATTCCTTACATTTAGAGACTAGAATCAATCCACTGGTCGAAATTATGGAAATGGAAAGATAGAAGAATTTTCCGAATTACATATATGGATAATTTTCCTAACTATACCAAAAGTATCAATAATATTTCACACAATATCTCAACACCCTCAATTTCAACGAGTTATATCTATCTATTATTATTATCATTGTTGTTATTATTATTATTATTATTATTATCTCTAGATATATTCTTTTTCTGTAGGTGCCATCTGTATGGAACTTGGCCGACAATGCAATGGTTCTCAATTCCTATCACAAGCTGTTATGAGTCTTACCAAAGTTCATGAGCTTTCACTTATTCCCTTACCTTTTGTCTCGGTATTGGTAGCACAAGCAGAAGGAAGCCTTGGTTCTAAGGAGAGGTGGAATAGAAACCTTCACCTTGAATGGTATAATTGGCCATCAGGTATGCTTTCTGCTCTTTGTGTGCGTGCTAAGTGGGGATGGGTAAGGGGATTGGTTTTGGGAGAATAACTGTAGAGCTAAATGTTATCATGTTTCTATCCCCGTAATCCATTAAAAAGATTGCAATAGATGTCAAACACAAGAGTTTACTAAACTAGTGGAAGTTCCCAAAACTCCTAATAACACCAAAATTTTCTTGTATTAAAATTGATAACTCCAAAAGTTTTCAGTTATTTTATTTTGGATACTTAATAATTATGCTAATTTGGTCCTGGTAGGACTTTTTTTACTTTTGAATTAAACAGGGTTGACAAGTACTTATCCTAGTCAGATATATGCAGTCATGATGCTAGCATGTGGCATTGTCAAAATAAACATGTTAACATCATTAATTAAAAGTGACAGAGTAACTAGATGAACATGTTTATTAAATGTTGGGGATAAAAAACACTGAAATTTTTCAGATGAATCAGTTTGGGAGGTATAAAAAATTTATTTAACCAAAAAAACATTAAAATACCTACAAATAACATAATAATTCAATATTTTAATTCCATAATAATGCAATCAATAACAAAGTAACAAGTCTAGTAGTACGTTACTAAATATATTCAAACAACACCAAATAAAACATAAGTTCATTCAAGAAATAAGTTTTTACATGATAAATTTAAATAGGTAAATTAGGACCAATCCTCTAATAATGTCATTTCCAAGATCATCAACACCCACTCCATCATCATTTTATCATGATCAAGCTCCTCCTTAGTTGACAGCTGTCATCATCAACGTTGATGTCGGAAGATAATTTTCTGATTGTATTTACTAGAAGAGCGTGTGCTCTTAAATAAAATACAAAATAATTTCAAAAGCTTCAATTTCACCTTAAACCCAATTGATATTTTGTAAAGTTGTCCAACAATTATGTAAGCCGCCCTTCAAAAATTAAGACAGACAATTTAAAGCTTCCTAAAGCATATAAGCCTATTAGAATAAGCAATTTACCTAGTTGAGGTATACATTCTTATACCATGTCAAATTTTATGACATTAAGTGAAGTTGCTTATAAAATATTTGAGTCACTCTAAGCATTGAGATAGATGCTATGAAACTTCCCAAGCAAAAAGAAACAACAAAATTTATTCTAATCATTGTAAACCACTATCAATCCGTATAATTAAAGTCAATGATTTCTATTTATAAATATGTATTCAAGCAATCAAATGTTTAGTCCCTAAAATTTGGAATAATTTTTTATCCTAGAAATAAATGAATAAAAAAAAAAACTCATTTTAGTCCCTTAAATTTAGTAATATATAATTTTAGAGTTTAAACACTAAATTTCCGAGATTAAAAATTACTTTTTCAAAACTATTTTAACTCCCTCTACTTTAGTGTTTAGGGTCTAAAACTTTGAGGAAATAAAATGAGCTTTTTAATTTGATGTAATAGAAAAGGATTGACCCTAAATTTTAAGAACTGAAAACATAATTAAACCTTCCTTTTAAATACATAATAGTCAAGCAATCAATTTTATCAAAATGAATAATATATACAAAAGGATTTTGACACTAGACATCCAAAATTGTATTATGAAGCTCAAATGCTTCTAGAAAAGATTATTTGAACCTTCCCCTTAACATTGTAACTTTATCTTCAATATTCTTTCCATCAACATTACCTCCCTCTTCACTTATCCATTCATTGTGAAACTCAATATCACCAATGGAAGTCCAACAATTTTTCTAATTTGTCTACTTCTTAATTTCACGTTATACATAACATGAAACAAGTAACTCAATTTCTTTTGATGCAAGTGGTTTCTTCTCTTTGTATGAACCTAGAATAAAAAATACCATTATTATTATTATTTTTAGTTATTTAAACCAATAAAAAACAATAAAAGCCATTTCAATTATGCTTCCACCCTGAAGAGCTACAAGTCAAGCTCAAAAGACAAATAAAATCTATCTCCAAACATCTCCCTCTACCGGAAACATAGCTTTCTTACAATTCGTTGCATTCTTCATAAATAAGAGAACCTCTAGCATAATAAAAATCAATAAGAAAGCATATATATTTTTCTCGGTTGTGCAACCTCTAGCATACCTTTTCTTTCACCTTAGGATCACCATTTTTAATATTAGGCTCATAGTGCAATTGGGGATTAAGATAATATGCAACTACATGCAGAGGTATATCAAGTTGGTTATCTCACCTCATCAATGATCTTCCAAATAGTTTCATAGCTACACATATACCAAATATGCCATATTGGAAATAGTTACATTATGTTACACACAAAATAATTTTTAAATGAGATAGTTTAGAATATTTACCTTTTCTTAATATGATTAAAATGACATTTAATTTTTCCTTTCCACATCCTATATGAAATGCATGATGGGTTTTACATTTGAATTCACCAACTGAAAGATTACCATAAGAGGGATAACAACTTTGAGGCATATGGTAACGCTCTTCCAACACCGACTACCTAGAAACCATATTTTCTACTTTTCTTCCCTCTTCTGAAGTTCCAAATTTGTTTGTTTTCCACTCTTCAAAATTAAACATGCTCATTAATAATGCTTTCTCTCATGAAGACAAGCTAAAATCAAATAAGTTGTGGCAAATTTGGTCAGACCAGACCTAATCAAGCCTCTTCCTTTTATGACTTCTTCAACATGCTAATAAAGCATTGTTTAGCCATATATGAAGGTGGTCCTTCTTTTCTTCTCTATAGTAACTTGATAAACCTTCAGATGTTTCTCAAAATCCTCAAATACCAAATAAATGTTATGGGAAACACATGGGTCCGATACAAATGCTCCTATTTAAGTGTCAACAATTCTCCTGCTGCTTTTGAAATTAGCAGCATTATTAATAACCATTTGGGCAACAATTTTCTCCAACAAATATGATAGCAATTATCAAATATCTTAAACACTTCATTATTTGTTTTTCCGATGTTTAAGGTATCTAATGAGTATAGTCTCTATTGGACTATTCACAAAAAAGTTACAAATTAAATGACTACTTTTTATTGGACTATTCACAAAAAAGTTACAAATTAAATGACTACTTTTTATCTGCCCATCCATATGGTTGAGCAACCGATTCTAGTCTATTCCTCCCGATATTGTTTTTAAGCATTTTATCAATTTTTACCACTGTTTGTTTCAAAAGCTTTTCCCGAACATTGTGATGAGATAAAGGATTTTAACTCCATTTTTCCCAATCATCTCACATGTTTGCAAAAGTTTGATTTTCAAGAGCATTGAATAGAATAGCTTGCGTATAAAAATTCAGCTACCTCAGCATCAACCTCATCGTTGTAGCCCCTTTCCACCATTTGATCTAGAGTTGCTTGAACTGGCACACCACCACCATCTTTTCTTTTTCCTTTGAAAGCAATTATCCATTGTCTTTGACTTTTAGTACCATTTGTCACTTCCCCTCACTTTCTTCATCATTGTTAGATATTGTTTAGATATAGTTTGATATTGTTAAGATATTGTTAGATATTATTAACCACAATATCAAACAATATCTTCTGTTTATTCTGTTTACTTTCGGTTACTCTTTTAGTTGTACCTATCTATTATAAATAGATTACCCTATGTGTGATTTATACACAAGGGAGATTAATTTCAAACCTTATTTCCTCTATATTCAACATGGTATCTAGAGCTTAAGGTTATCTTGAATTTTTTTTTTCGCCTTTTGTCCACTGCTGGAGTCGTCCCATCGCTGTTGGTAAACTGATCCTCCACATCAGAAAAGAATTATCTTTGTTACTGAATTTTATTTGGTAGTGTGAAAGTGCATGTTTAGGAAAGTTCTAGCAAGGAAAGACTTGGTATTTAAGTGTGTCCATTAGTGACTCACCTTTCTTTCCTGGGAACTTACCTGGTGTACTGGTTCACGTTGCTCTCACCGCTGCCGCTAGAGCAGTCACCGGATCCGCTGCTGTCAGAGAATTCGTCGGAGTTTCATTTTTTTTTATCGGTGACATATGATTTTGCTTGTCTCGATCAGGTGATCACCGTGCTGTTGAGATCACCACTATCGGAGTTGGTTGTCCCGTTGTCTCCTGTGCCGTTTAATCTTGGTGAACTTATTTTTAGTATTCTCATTTTGGATTTGTGTTTCGTGGGTTAATTGGATTGTTTTAGGGTTTGTTCTCTCGCTCTTCATGACTTCTTCTACTATTTCCAATTTTGTTAATGATTCTTTTGTGTTGACATCTCATCGTGATGACCGGACTAGCCCTCGCAAACAGGGAAAAGGGCGTCCTAAGTGTGAACATTGTGGCAAACTAAGTTACAAGATTAACAAGTGTTATACATTACATGGTCGTCCTCCTCGATCTGCTGCAGTTGTTCATACCAATCTTTCCCCACCTTTATCTGTTGGGGATCCTCCTTCTTCTGTTCCATCCGACATGCCTGCTATGTTCAACAAATTTCTCGAATGGTATAAGGATCAATAGTCTTCTAGTTCCACTATATCTGTCACACATACAAATACATATTTTGCTGGTCTGACCCAATAATTTTCTCCTGGTCTTTGGGTTTTTGATTCAGGAGCCACTGATCATATTACTGGTAACAAATCTTTGTTCTCCTCTTTATCCTCTCCTAATCATTTACCTTCGTTACACTCGGTTGATGGCTCTAGAGTATCATCTCATGGTGTTGGAACGGTTAAACTTTTTCCTTCTTTAACCATTGATAATGTTCTTTATGTCCCCGGGTCTCCTTTTAACCTCGTTGTCCATCGCTCGTCTAACTCGTTCTCTTGATTGTGTTGTTACTTTTACCAACAATTCTCGTGTGTTTACGGGACCCGAGTTCGAAACAGTGTGATTGACACAAGATGTGAGTCTCATGGTCTTTATTATCTCCGTCCCTCTACACATGTTAGTACAATTATGGAGTCTCCCTCTCTTCTTCATGCTCAGTTAGGTCATCCAAGTCTTGCCAAGTTACAGAAACTTGTCCCTGCCTTGTCCAACTTATCTAGTTTGGCGTGAGTCATGTCAATTAGACAAACATAGTCGTACTTCCTTTTTTCGTAGATTCGCACATGGTGCTTCGTCCCCTTTATCGTGGTTCACTCTGACATTTGGGGACCTAGCTGCGTTAAGTCTACTTTAAGTTTTCAATACTTTGTTACTTTCATTGATCATTATTCCAGATGCACTTGGTTATTTTTGATGAAAAATCGTTCTGAATTATTTCATATCTTTCAAACTTTTTTTAATGAAATTCAAACTCAGTTTGGTGTTTCTATTAGAGTTTTGCGTAGTGATAATGACCGTGAATATCTTTTTCATTCTTTTAAACAATTCATGGCTTCTCACGGTATTTTGCATCAAACTTCTTGTGCTTATACACATCAACAAAATGGTGTAGCTGAACGTAAAAATAGACATCTTATTGAAACAACTCACACACTTTTAATTCATGGAGATGTTTCTCAACATTTTTGGAGTGATGCTCTTCTTTTTGCATGTTATCTCATTAATCTCATGCCTTCTGTTTTAGATAATAAAATACCTCATTTCATTTTATTCCCTCATGAACCACTTCATCCATTACCTCTGAGAGTTTTTGGGTCTACATGTTTTGTTCATAATTTCAGTTCTGGTCTTGACAAGCTTTCTCCTAGATCACATAAATGTGTTTTCTTAGGGTTTACAAGATCACAAAAAGGATACAAATGTTTTTCTCCTTCTCTTAACCGTTATTTTGTGTCTGCAGATGTCACCTTTGATGAGTTGTCTCTTTATTTTAAAAGTCAATCTTCACCTCTATCTCCATCCAATCTTGTCAACACTCCTAGTACATTTAATGTTCCTGTTGTTTGTGACCCTCTAACTGTGTCTTCTTCACCATTAGTTCATGCTCCGCAGTCAGCTTCTTTTCGACTGCCTCTTCAGATTTATATTTCTCGAAACCAATCACAACCATCACCATGTGACTCCACTCAAGTGCCAACTACTCTGTCTCTTCCGGATCTGACACATGAGTCTGACTTTCCCATTGCCCTCCGAAAAGGTATTCGTTCTACACGTAATCCCTCTCCCCATTATATTGCTTTGAGTTATCATCGACTGTCATTACCTTTTTATACATGTCTTTCCTCTATTTCTTTTGTGACCATTCCAAAAACTGTCCGTGAAGCTTTAGTCCATCCTAGTTGGCGTCAGGTCATGTTAGATGAACTAAGTGCTCTTCATAATAGTGGAACTTGGGAATTGGTCCCGTTATCATCTAGGAAATCTGTCGTTGGTTGCAGGTGGGTGTTTGCTATCAAAGTTGGACCTGATGGTACTATTGATCGCCTCAAAGCTTGTCTTGTGGCCAAATGTTATATTCAAATTTTTGGGTTGGATTATGGAGATACTTTTTTTCCTGTGGCAAAGATGGCTTATGTTCGTTTATTTATCGCCATGGCCGCTCTTCAACAATGACCTCTTTATCAACTGGATGTTAAAAATGCTTTCCTCAATGGTGATTTGCAAGAAGAAATATATATGGAGCAACCTCCTGGGTTTGTTGCTCAGGGGGAGTCTTCTGGGATGGTATGTCGCCTTCGCAAATCCCTATATGGCCTAAAACAGCTTCCTAGGGCTTGGTTTGGAAAGTTTAGCAAGGTTGTTCAATAATTTGGTATGACTCTGTGTGAAGCAGATCATTCTGTCTTTTATCGACACTCGAGTGTTGGATGTGTTTACTTGATAGTATATGTTGATGACATCGTTCTTACAGGTAGTGACAACCATGACATCTCTCAGTTGAAACAACATCTCTGTCACCATTTTCAGACCAAATATCTTGGCAAACTTAGATATTTCTTGGATATTGTGGTGGCACAGTCCAATGATGGTATTGTTATATCTCAGAGGAAGTATGCCATAGATATTTTGGAGGAAACTGGGTTGATGAGTTCAAAGTCTCGTTGATACACCCATGGATCCCAATACTAAACTTCTACCAAATCAGGGGGAGCCTATATATGATCCTGAGCAGTATAGAAGATTGGTTGAAAAATTGAATTATCTTACAGTTACTCGTCCTGACATTTCCTTTGCAGTCAATGTGATAAGTCAATTTCTTAATTCACCATGTAAAGATCATTGGAATACAGTCATTCGTATCTTGAAGTATATTAAAGGATCTCCTGAAAAAGGATTGTTATATGGTTTTAATAACCATACAAGAGTTGTTTGCTACTCAGATGTTGATTGGGCAGGATCTCCTTCGGATAGAAGATCTACATCTGGATATTGTGTCTCCATTGGTGGTAACTTGATCTCATGGAAAAGTAAGAAAGAAAGTGTTGTGACAAGATCCAGTGCAGAAGCAGAATATAGAGTTATGACCTCAGCTGCCTGTGAACTTGTTTGGCTCAAGCAATTGCTTAGAGAATTAAAATTTGGAGATGTCACTCAAATGACACTTGTGTGTGACAATCAGGCTGCTCTTCATATTAGTTCTAATCCTGTCTTTTATGAGAGGACCAAACACATTGAGATTGACTATCATTTTATTTGAGAAAAGATTATGTCTGGAGATATCAAGACTGAGTTTGTTAACTCAAGTGATCAATTAACAGATATTTTCACTTATTCTTTACGGGGGCCTAGAATTGATTATATTTGTAACAAGCTTGGTCATACGATTTGTATGCTCCAGCTTGAGGGGGAGTGTTAGATATTGTTTAGATATTGTTTAGATATAGTTTGATATTGTTAAGATATTATTAACCACAATATCAAACAATATCTTCTGTTTATTCTGTTTACTTTCGATTACTCTTTTAGTTGTACCTCTCTGTTATAAATAGATTACGTGATTTATACACAAGGGAGATTAATTTCAAACCCTATTTCCTCAATATTCAACAATCATCAATAATATTCAATCTTTTTTTCAAGGGCGATGACTAGGTGAAAACCCATTGTGGGAAATACAACCGGTTGACAATTCAATATATCAAAATAATAATAATATTAATATATTGAGTTGTTAATTGGTTATACAACCAAACATTTTTCCTCTTTTCTTCATTAGGAAGTATGTAAAATCTTTAATGCAAATCTTGAAATTGTGATGTTGTAATTAAAATAGGACAGTAAACGACGATCAAATGTAAGGGGGCTGACCTTCCACTCAGCAGAATGGAGTTGTCAACAACGATCAAATCGTGCACAGAGCAGAGAGGAGAAAATGTGTCCAGTGAACTTGAAAACGACTATTCAACACAAGAGGGGAACTTGAAACTGCAAACATAAATCGAAGAAAAACTGAGAAGAACTGCAATCACGAAGAACACCAACTATTGTGAAGAGAAACAGTGATTAGAAATCACAATGTTGCGATGAAGAAGAATGAAGGGAAGAATTGTGGTGCCCAGTAGCTACACTTCGTGAGGTTCAATACCTATTTTTTCTTCTATTTCTACGAGCCAAAACGACAAGATAGGCATTGTTTTAATTTAAAAATAAAAATGAAATCGAACTCTTCTACTCATAGATGAATTCACGAGTTAGCTTGAGTCAACACAATCCTAGAATTCAAGTCTCTGGGGAGTTGACTCGAACCAAGGTTCTGAGATGTAAAATCGTAGTAGTTTAAGAGCTTAGGAGTTAACTTGCCATTTTGATAATCATGATTATCATGGCATGGTGTGTATTGAGCAAATTTTGGATGATTATCATTATCAACTTGTCCAAATTAATAGAACTATTATCTGATAGTGCAAGGCAGAGTTGGATTGCTTTGAGATTTAACCGTTGACCCTTAGTCGGTTAGTAGATTCACATGCTGTATTTAAAATTCGTGTCTGTTCATATTCATTGGTTGCTGTATTTAAAATTCGTGTCTGTTCATATTCATCGATTGCTGCTATACTTTTTGTGGATGTACTGTCTAATATCTGCCACTTTTTCGTAGAAATGAGGCCTGCGGAGCTCTACTTTCAAAGGCATTTGCTTGCAAAGCAGTCTAAACTTGGGCCAGACGCTACATCTAACTTGGAGTCCGCTCAGAGTCCTCTGAGATGGGTTATTCGAGCAATTCACATGAACCCTTCTTGCATGCGATATTGGAGGGTTTTACAGAAGCTTGTGGAAGAATAAAAGACCTGAAATATGAAGCAACACGTTTTAGGAGTGGGTTATCACGAGGAAGCGTATGTTTGCTATGTTCACTTTCTATTGAATTTGGGAAGGGGAGTAGTTAAACAAGTCGTTTTTTCAAACAAGCTTAGTTCATAGACGGACAAAAGTAGACATAAATGGAATCATTTGATACTACAATACACTAGTCTGCTAGAAAGAATAAGCGTGAGTAAAATGCGTGAGTTCTATATTTCGGGAGGGTCAACGGGAGAAGAGTACTAGAAAATTGATTTACGATGCCTGTCAACGAATGAGTTGAAGTTGAAACTATTGGTCACAGATTATTTCATATTTTAATGATGTCTGAGATTGTTTTATTCTACTCGGCAATCAACTTTTTCATTCAAAATGAGTTTTGAAAATTGTTTATAACTTAACTATTTTAAAAATGAAAAACAAACAATAGAGATATGTTCTATCATCATCATCATTATTATTATTATTATTATTATTATTATTATTATTATTATTATTATCTTGTTCTACTTTTCCCCTGAATTCTACGTTGTGCTGTTTTTATGTAATCCATCACCAATTGCTTGAGCAAGCTTGTTTATTTATGTTTTTGAAAAAAAAAACAGTTTTTGGAAATAGAAATCAAACATCCTAATTTTTATAACATAATTTTGTTATATCATTAAGAATTTATGTATTCAAATTTGGACGAGTCAAAATGAGTTTTATTCGAGAGGCCTTTATTGAATAATAATTATATTTTAAAAAAGTTTATATTTAAATTTTAAAAACATATTTTTCATTTTTATTTTTTCAAACGAGTCAAAATGACTCAATAGGCCAATAAAATGCTGAATATACTATGATTCAATTAAAAATAAGGATAAAATTGTTATGATACAATTTTTTATAACTAACTTGAGTAAAGTAAGTCCGTTTTATAATTTCATTTAAAATGTTTTTTATATTTTGTCTTCTTACATTTTTTTTTATTTTGTGAATTTTTATTTTAAGAAAAACCTTAGATCTAGTCATTATTTTAGTTTTGCAATTTTGGTAATATAATATCTATTGGTAATGTTAACATGATTGTAAAATAAAGTATCATGTGAGCAAATAGGTGTAGGTGAGATAGGTTATTAAAGTGGCACTTTATTTTTTTCATTAAATATTACATGTTAATTTACTAAATGAATTGAAACTATATAATTAAAATTATAAAGGATAAATTTGTAAATAATTAAATAAAATTGACAAAAAACTAAGTCACTATTTTTTACAAATGTTAAAATTCTAACATTTTAAATATTAAAAAAAATTTTGAAACTTGTTTCCGCAGGAGATTATTTTAAAGAAATCACTATGAAATGGTAAACACACAGTACGTACCTTTTTTGGATTGTAGTTGCTGGGATTTTCTTCCTGTACAGTAAAAGTGTGGTAAATTTTAAAAACATCCGAAAAAAATACATTTTAATTATACACTTACATTATTTTGGGTTAAAATCTTGTTTTGGCTCTCCAGTTATCTTCTCCAAGCTCCCGCACAGATGCTGGTGTTCAATGATAATTGTTGCTCAATCCATTTCATTGGTGCATGAAATCAATCAAAACAAAATACATGCTTTGGTTAACCGTTTCCTTAAAAGCGAAAAGAGGGTTCCTTCTACAGTTGCAGGCATGTTTTGTATCAAAGGTGGCCTCAGGGGATGAGATATACTCGAATCTGCTGCGAGGATACGCGCAGGACTCAAACTTACTCTGTGGAAGAGCAATTCACGCTAAATTAATCACAGGGTGTATTCCTTTAACCCTTTTTCTTCAGAACCATTTGCTTAATATGTATGTCAAAATTGGAGACCTTCCTTCGGGCCTCAAAATGTTTGACGAAATGCCCAGCAGGAATGTGGTGTCCTGGTCCGCTGTCATGGCTGGTTGCGTTCAAAACGGCTGTGCTTCGGAGGCTCTTTCTTTATTCAGCCGTATGCACCAGGAGGGAGTTACAAAACCAAATGAGTTCACGTTTGTTAGTGCTCTCCATGCCTGCTCTTTAACTGAGGCTGAGAACTATAGGACTCTGCCTCACCAGATTTATTCATTAGTTGTGCGGTCAGGACTTATGTCGAATATCTTCTTACTCAATGCCTTTTTGGCAGCCCTAGTCAGGCATGATAAATTGTCAGAAGCCATTAGAGTTTTTGAGACAAGCCCAGGCAAGGATACTGTGTCTTGGAATACAATGATAGGGGGTTACTTGCTGTTTTCTTGTGACCAGATTCCTGAATTTTGGTGTTGCATGAATCGTGAGGGTATGAAACCTGATAACTTCACATTTGCCACCGCCCTCACTGGGTTGGCTGCTCTGTCTTATCTTCAAATGGGAAGGCAAGTTCATGCACACCTTGTCAAAAGTGGTCATGGGGATGACCTTTGTGTGGGGAACTCACTGGCTGATATGTATATAAAAAATCATAAGATGGTCGACGCTTTCAGAGCTTTTCATGAGACGCCTAACAAAGATGTGTGCTCTTGGTCCCAGATGGCTGCTGGATGTTTACACTCCGGGGAACCGAGAAAGGCACTTACACTCGTTGCACACATGAAGAAAATGGGTGTAAAGCCAAACAAATTTACCCTGACAACTGCCCTGAATGCTTGTGCAAGTTTGGCTTCACTAGAGGAAGGAAAAGAGATTCATGGTTTGAGGATCAAACTTGAAGGGGAGATAGATATTGATGTGTGTGTTGATAATGCTCTTCTCGATATGTATGCAAAATGTGGATGCATGGATAGTGCATGGGGTCTGTTTCGATCAATGAACTCCCGTTCTGTCATCTCATGGACAACAATGATAATGGCGTGTGCACAGAATGGCCAATCCAGAGAAGCTCTTCAAATTTTTGATGAAATGAAGGAGTCAAGTATAGTGCCAAATCACATCACCTTCGTGAGTGTTCTTTATGCATGTAGTCAAGGTGGGTTTGTCGATGATGGTTGGAAGTACTTTTCCTCCATGACACAAGACTATGGGATTTTCCCTGGAGAAGATCACTACGCCTGTATGGTGAATATTCTTGGCAAGGCTGGACTTGTTAAAGAAGCTAAGGAGTTAATCCTTAGAATGCCGATTAAGCCGAGTGCGCTAGTTTGGCAAACATTGCTCAGTGCTAGTCAGCTTCACGGGGATGTGCAAACTGGAAAACTTGCCGCAGAACGTGCCATACGACGAGACCAAAAAGACCCATCAACTTATTTGTTATTGTCTAACATGTTTGCTGAATGTAGCAATTGGGATGGCGTGCTGAATCTGAGAGAACTAATGGAGATAAAGGATGTAAAGAAATTACCAGGATCCAGTTGGATAGAAATCGATAAGATTTAACATGGTTAAGAAAAATCCTCATTTTACATCTTCATTTTATTCAATTTATTATCATCAGATCTTTTGCAATGAATTTGTGTACCAATATTTCGTACCATTTAGTAATCCTCACAAGTCAGAATGCAGGGGCCAAATAAATAAAAAACGCAGTGATGTGACGTGCTTTCACCGTACGGATGAGGGGCTCGTGTTGGTAGCAGTAAAGGCTGTGGTTGAATCGCGATCTTGAGTGCTGAGCATATGCAGATATTGCTTAAGCGGTTCAATTCGTTGGTAAAGAGAGATGTCTAGCTGTGAGAGGCAAGTATAATAGCAGTACATGGAGGCGTTCTATAGCTTTTGGTGCTGTGATGCATGGGAGGTGCATACAGATTGACAATTGGTCTGTGATGCATGATGCATTAGTCGTGCGTGTGAGATGATGAAGAGTGCATTGGCTGCATCTGTGATGCATGGGTGGTGCATGGTAATGAAACGGTTACTAAGCAAGTGGCTGATGTGAGAGCATGGTGCTGTGATGCATCGGTGGTGTTGGTTATTTTATGCATGGAAGCTTTCTGTCCATGTAAGGTGGGGTATATCACATGCATGGTGAGGTGTGGCAGTGGAGTTGCGGATTGCTGTCATGCTTGTTAGGTGCAGGGTAGTGATTAGAAACAAAGAGACTAAAAGGGGCTCCATATGATACCTTTTAAATAAAAACAAACAAATGAATGAGTGATAAAGTGGGGACTCGTTGAGCAACTGGTTTGCGCATTACAATTGTTGAATTACACTCCTATTCGCATTTCTAGAACATGCTGCACGCATAAAGTAGTCATCAATGGCTTCTTAGGTCTAGCTACATTAAATGCAATGAAGTTACATTCAAAGAAACAAAAGAAAAACGGAGTCCTCCAGGGAAAGGAAACAAGTAACATGATATAGGCTCATCACCCTCACTCCTCTAATGTTCATAGTGCTCTTTAAACTAATGGGGCTTGTGCCCATGTCTCTTTTAATTGATCGACACTAATAAATTTTTAAAAAATTATGAATTTGGATAAATTTTTCATGAATAATATTTTTTAAAATAATTTTATTTATAATAATATTTTGTGATGTATTAGTTTATATTTTAAATTTTAAAAATAAAATATAAAACATTTATAAACTACAATTTCTACCATAATAATATTGAGTGTTCTTTTTATCAAGGCTTTGCTTTCAAGTCTTTTAACAATTCTAGTGTCTGCTTAACAACAAATATCTAAAAATATTTGTGTGTATAAAAGTATTCAATTTTTTTTTTATAAATTTATTCATGGGAAAAAGGGAATAACCTTGTCCCATTTTTTTATTATGTCCTTTATTTTTATTTAAATTTGTAATATAGAAATAGTAAATAATTAATTTAATTTACTATTAAAATTAACTATGTTTTATATAACTATTTTATAACTTTGATTTAGTTTTCAAACAACCATATTTGTGTTTGGATAACTGTATAAAAATATTTTAAATTGTTACTTCGTTTTTTTACACGATATATATATATATATATATATATATATATATAAATAGTAAGTAATGTATTAAATTTAATATATAATTCCTAATTGTTTTGATGTTAACAAGAATATGTTTTGAGATATATTTCATTTGTGAAGAAAGAATATATCATCCTATTCATCAATCTTGTATAAATTAAAATATCATCTAATGTTATAAAATAAAAGTAAATATCCCAAAAGATCTACTATCAGTATATTTTCCGTTATACAGTTTTTCTAAACATATGATTTTGATATTTATAAAAAATTAATTACACACGTGATATTTATTGTTGTAAAAAATATTAAAATTATATGTTACAAGTAAGAAAATGGATTTTAATGTAGAATGATTTATTTCTCATTTGGTTTAGAAAGAGAATGATTTTGAAAGTTTGAAGAAGCATGGATATTTGATTTTTGTGTTGTGGGTGGATATTATTAGAGAGAAGGAAAGTTGGGTTGGGGATTTGGGTTTGATACGCAAGGTGGATTGTCCATTCAATTGGAAATATCTGGATTGAGAAGAGAAGAGAGGCCAAGCCTCACAGTGACAATGGAAAGGGTGGCGCTGGTTCGTTGTCTGCCGTGCTCTTCGGCGTTGTGCAGAACATACTTAAACTCACACTCCCACGCCTGTCGGCGTTCCTCCATTCCCCTCCTCTCTCTCCCTCGCCGCCGCCGCTCCTCCCGATTGCTTACCTATTCTTCCTCTCCCCCATACTTTCGAACCTCCTCCAACCGCTTCTCCTCTTTCTCCCCTCGAGCTGTTCTTTCTCCCTCTCCCTCTCCTTCCCCTCCTCCTTCCCCAGGCTTTCCTCAGGTTAAGGATGAAGTTGCCCTTAAATTGGGCTTTCAGAAAGTTTCCGAGGAATTCATTCCAGAATGCAAATCAAAAGCGGTGCTTTTCAGGCATATCAAGACTGGGGCTCAAGTCATGTCCGTTTCCAATGACGATGAGAATAAAGTCTTTGGAATTGTTTTCCGCACTCCTCCGTAACTCCCTTTACCATTCGCTTCCATTAACTGCAAATATTTCTTTACCATTATAATACTCATTCTTCTTTACTTTACATGCTTCTATTTTACAGGAAAGACTCCACTGGTATCCCTCACATCCTGGAGCATAGCGTCCTATGCGGCTCACGGAAATACCCTTTGAAAGAACCCTTTGTTGAATTATTGAAAGGAAGCTTGCACACTTTCCTCAACGCATTCACCTATCCCGATAGGACATGTTACCCTGTTGCTTCCACAAATACCAAGGTCACTTAAATTAACTTCTTTCCCTCATTCTTCAATCCATGATTGTTTGACTTCACACTACACTACAACATTCAAATCTTCCATCTTCCTAAACAGGATTTCTATAATTTAGTCGATGTCTACCTCGATGCCGTCTTCTTTCCCAGATGTGTCGAGGACTTTCAGATTTTTCAACAGGAGGGCTGGCACTTTGAGCTCAACGATCCTTCCGAAGATATCACTTATAAAGGTTTCTTGAAACATTATTCATATCTCTTTATCCTTCTGCGCCATGCGCCATTTTTACCGTATCAATATTTCTGGAGTCCCGTGAATTTCAATAATTTCTAATGATGTCGTATTTGTTGTTTCAGGTGTTGTGTTTAATGAGATGAAGGGTGTCTACTCTCAACCAGACAATATACTTGGGCGTGCTGCTCAACAGGCTAGTTTTTAATGCCTTGCCCTTTCTTTATCCTCTTGTTTGTTGTATTTTGTACAGAGCTTTCTCCTTTTCCTATACTTTTTTGGGTTGCATCTTCTCCTGTAGACTGGAACATTTGAACAGTTGTTAAATTTTCTCTTTGTTGTCAGCTTCTAGTTTTAAATTATGTTGATATGCATTATTGCAATTTGTAACCTACTTTATCTGGAACCTGAAAGCTGAAAGCATATCACATTTTCTAAATTTACTGAATTTGCTAGTTTCAACTTTACATTACAATTACCAATTATGAGGAATTTTGTGACATTTTCTTATAACTATGTTTCTTGATTTCATGTATATATCAGGCTCTTTTCCCAGACACAACCTATGGTGTTGACAGTGGAGGTGATCCTAGAGTTATTCCCAAGTTAACATTTGAAGAATTTAAGGTTTGTCTTGAGAATCCTTTTAAATAACTAGTGCACTAATTTTCACAATTTTTTTTCTTGGGTTTTAGTTGTTCGTAGCCACCAACATTGTCTTAAGAAAAAAAAAAATCATTTTCATAATTTTCATTTGCATTCTTACCTTGGTGACCTGTTTACATCCATATAGCCTACTGTGGAGCTCAGTATTAGCTACTGCAAATATTTGGTTTTCATAATTTAAGGCATTTTTCATTTTAAACTTAATTGGCAGGAATTTCACCGCAAGTATTACCATCCTAGCAATTCACGCATATGGTTTTATGGAAATGATGATCCAAATGAGCGGCTCCGCATCTTAAGTGGTAATAAGTTTTAGTTTAACTTGCTCCTTAAATATAAAGTATGACAATTGAGAAGAGCGGACTTATTCTCCAAACATCATTTTTCTCCTTGCTATGAATATGCAAGGATATTTTTGGATGACCTTGAGGGAACTCTTCCAATGCTCACCAAAGGCCCTTCTGTGTAATGGTCTTAGCCAAGCAAGTCAGATTCAACCTGTTACATGCATAATCTTTAAGAAGCAGCTAGAAGGGTCTTTATAATTTATGGTTATGTCAAGCCTAGTTGCTCCCTCCGGTAATATAAATAACAAAGAATTCTGTGGATAAACTTTAATAATGAAATGACATTGTCATCTTTTCAGCAAATATCTTATCCTTCCCCCTAATTGCACTTCTTTCTTCTATCTAATAATATCTATTCTTTTATATAAACAAAAAACATAATATCTATTTCTGAATGTCTAAAAATGAGGCATTCTGTATTCTTTTGCAATACTGAGGTATAGTAATTAAATCAACATCTACATGTTAAACATATTGTTATCTCTTCTGAAATTACTTTACAACAACAACAAAAGCCTTATCCCATTGGGTCAGGTTGACTATAGTCATTTGGTTAAAGACTGAATTCTCAGAGATCTCTCCTTAACAACTTCCTCTAATGTCCTTTATGATCTCCTTCTCCCCCTTTTCTAAGGACTAAAATCATGCAATCTACTCTCCTGATCGGTGTTTTCAATGGCTTTCTTTATGTGTCCAAATCACATTAACTGGTTCTCTATCATTTTTCCATAATTTGTACCACACAAATATCTATGCATATACTATAATTTCATATTATGTCCTTGCTTGTGTGGCCCCAATCCATCTTAATATTCTCTCTCATTGATGCTTGCTCTTTTTCTGTTGTTGCTCCCTGACATTAACTACCATAAAATATAATCAGACTTACAATAGTACAGTAAAAGCTTTCCTTGAGATGGTAGTTACGGTGCGATTACAAGTTACCCCCCGATGTCTTTCTCTAGTTTAGCCATCCACTTGTATCTTGTGTGTGACATTCTCATTAATTTCCCTACCATTTTATAATATTATCCCAGATATTTAACTATAGGAAGAAACCTGTTGTATGACATTCATTCACAATGCATATACTCTATTTTACCCTAGTAACACTTTCAACAAAACCCTTTGTTTCCAAAGTTTGTCTCTGAAGTTCATGTTTATAGTTAATTGCTTCTCTTAATTCTTCAATCAAAACTATAACATCTGCCAAGGAATACAATGGGGGATAATCTCAGAGATCTCTCCTTAACAACTTCCTCTAATGTCCTTTATGATCTCCTTCTCTCCCTTTTCAAAGGACTAAAAATCTTGCAATCTACTCTCCTGATCGGTGTTTTCAATGGCTTTCTTTATGTGTCCAAATCACATTAACTGGTTCTCTATCATTTTTCCATAATTTGTACCACACAGATATCTACGCATATACTATAATTTCATATTATGTCCTTGTCCCAATCCATCTTAATATTCTCTCTCATTGATGCTTGCTCTTTTTCTGTTGTTGCTTTTAAGCCCTGACATTAACTACCATAAAGTATAATTAGACCT